ATATTTCTTGTCCAGTCAATGCAAAATGTACCAGGTGATTTATTCCCTGCTGTCCTGATGCCTTCCAGTCTGTTGGTCCTCCCCGCTGTCCCAGGTCCCATTTCCAAGACATGAAATAGTGTTGGCCGGGTCATGAAAATTTTAAAAGAGAATTTTGTTTACTTGTCTTTTTTAAAAAGAATTAGAATCCATATCAGGTTGTTTTGTTTTGTTCAGTGATTAATCACATGAATAATTGTTTTAACATACATGAAACAGTGACAGTAATAACACAAGGATGTACAGCAGGCTAGGTAGCTTTTGAAGAAAATGTATAGGATCAGTTGACAATGTCGACCCTATAAGGAAATATTTTCTCTGAAAAACAAGTGAAATTTGATATGAGCCACTTGGTGTTGTGGTGCGAGTATAAGCTAGAGACATTCTACCATGCCCGTGATACCTGCTCGATATATAGGACTCCCTCGCCATGACATGTAAATATATATTTATCTAAATATAGGTCATTGTCTCACAAACATTGTGACAAGGCCAGTGTGCATACACATCTGTCAAATCGGGGAGTATATTTTATAGGACTGCCGACTCCGATATCATTGTTTTTGAAGAGCAGCCTTTGCCATGATTGTGGACTCGGGGCTCTTTGTCCTTGTGGGTTTTAGCAGCAAAGCTAACAGATGTTTTTGCTGAGCTCAATTTCTCACAAAAGGGGAAGGCGTTTATATTGTAGGGTGATTACCTGTGGGTGACATGTGATAGGTGAGGGAGAGTGCACTGTTTGGAAGGACGTTACTTTCTTCACCTTAGCAACGGGAAAAGTCTTTTGTTGGACCGCTCTTTACTGAGTGCAAAACTTGATAAGAAATCCTTGGACATGTAAGGTGGACCGTTTGAGATGGACTTCATGTATGTGACCTGACACATGGATTAGGAGTGCGTAGTTTAAGAAATAAACAATTAATAACAGTTCTCAGAAATATTGTATTTGGATCCAGAGGTTGGTTGCAGAGGTGAGCTTCAGCCATTTTGGGGAAACCCTCCATGTTACACTGTTGTGTGTTTTGGACACCCTAAATGTTAAACCATCGTGTGTTTTGGACACCCTAAATGTTAAACCATCGTGTGTTTTGGACACCCTAAATGTTAAACCATCGTGTGTTTTGGACACCCTAAATGTTAAACCATCGTGTGTTTTGGACACCCTAAATGTTAAACCATCGTGTGTTTTGGACACCCTAAATGTTAAACCATCGTGTGTTTTGGACACCCTAAATGTTAAACCATCGTGTGTTTTGGACACCCTAAATGTTAAACCATCGTGTGTTTTGGACACCCTAAATGTTAAACCATCGTGTGTTATGGACACACTCCATTTTAAACTATGGTGTGTTTTGGACACCCCCCATTTAAAACTATGGTCTGTTTTGGACACCCTCAATATTAAACTATCATGTGTTTTGGACACCTTCCATATTAAACTCTGGTGTGTTTTGGACACCCTCTATGTTAAACTATGGTGTGTTTGGGACACCCTCCATGTTAAACTGTTGTGTGTTTTGGACACCCTACATGACAAACTATCTTGTGTTTTGGACACCCTACATGACAAACTATTGCATGTTTTGGACACCCTCCATGTTAAACTATGGTCTGTTTTGGACACCCAGCTTGTCATATAATGCCTTTTTGTTCACTTGGAAACTTAGGTGTAGTGTGTACCCCCGTCTTATCATAATCCTTGTTACACCTCTGTACTGTAGAATAAAATATTCTGACAATTTTTCAAAAGAATAAGATTTTGAGAACTTTCATATCAGTCCAAATGACATGGTTTCCGGAATAAGTAAATGAAATAATTCTCAGATTGACTGGGTCTTCTAGTTTTGCAATAGATGTATGCAATTAAATATTTTGATGGAATTGAAATTATTAGCATTGAGAAGGCTAAATGGCATAGGTGTCTCTTTCTCCTAATGGGATATATGATGTGATTTATGTGTGGACTGAAGGTTACAGCTGCCTTAGGGCAAGACCACCACTGGAACATATCATATAGCTTCATTATGGACGGCATGCTTGGGAGGAAGGCCGTTATGGCAGCATTCATCATAGTTACTGCACAAATTGAGGTATTGGCTATTGTCAGAACAAGGACAATTTCATATGTAAATGTATTGATATTAACATTTTCACCTAAAATATAGCTTTTCACCCAACTGACAAATTGATAAGTGTTAGATTTTAAGGCTTTTTGAGTCAGCCACAGTAATGAATCAGAAAAAATATATATGGCTTTTCACCCCTCTGACAAATTAATAACAATGTTAGATTTTAAGGCTTTTTGTGTCCACCACAGTAATGACTCAGAGTATTTTTTTATGAGAACCTTTGAATTTCATGCTTTTTCTTGAACACTGTCTTATGGCCTGTTACAATCCTTGACTGTCTCCCCAGGGAAGATCTGGGTTAGATGTGGTCTTCAGCAACCCATACTTGTTGTGTAAGAGGTGACGAACAGGTGGTCAAGCTCGCTGACTTGGTTGATGCATGTCATTGTATCCTAAATGTGTACATCGATGCTCATATTGACAATCACTGGATTGTCTGATCCAGATTTGATTATTTTACAGTCCGCTCTCATTCAGCAGGAATATTGCTGAGTGCGTTGTTAAGCAATAAACAACAAAACCTTGGCAATCTTTTCAATTTGATAATAGAAGACCATTTATGGATCGTTTTCGTTCATCTTGAAAATTCCAATGATTTTGGTAAAGAGCATGAAAATACATTTTTTCACCTATATTTTGTTGATTGAAGAACAAAAAACGCTAAGTACCTAAGGCAATCTGTATGCCTTCCTGAAACTCACTCATCTGGAACAATGTAATTTGTCTTATTTCACAATTTGTTTAAATTGGATGACTGATATGTAATGTGTCCCACTGTCATCAGCTATAGAAACTAACTGTTTTTGTCTGCTAGTCCTTATAATGGTAACATGTAGCAAAACCCTCAAAAATAGCAAATGTCTACTAGTCCTTCTGATACCTTACACTTTGGCAGTTTGGAGGGAACTATAGGACTAGTCCCAATTTCTAACGCTGTTCAGATGTAGTGTTTGATAAGAACAATGCTTACAAGGTATCAGGTTGAGATTAAGATGAATATTCAGTCTATTTCCTGCCTTTGAAACAAATATCAAATATGGTGTGACAACAGATACTGATGTGATTCCCAGAACAGTCAACAGATAATATAGAAACGCACAGGATTAGGTTACCACTCATAAAAGGCTGCACAATGGCTCCAATACAAGGCAGCATCAATAAATATAAGGCCCTATTACGTAAGTCAGTGTGCTCATAAATGTCCAGAATTATTCACAGTTGAATGACTTGAATGAGGCATGTGCTCCATTCTTGAATCAAGGAAACAGTGTTGGAAGAAGGCAGAAAGATAGGAGTCCTATCTGTATTTGGTCGTTAAGGTCTCGAATAGCCCTCATTTCACTCTCCCAAAGGTAAAGTCAGCCTTACAGAAACTTGTCACACTGTGTAGTCAGTCTAAGTGTTGATACGCAAAGGTGGATAACTCTCAAGTACTCTGGTTGTCACATAGCATTAATAAAAAGATCCAGAAACAATGGCACTTGACATTTCACGAGCGCTTCAATTAGCTGCCACTAACAATCAGCAGATATAAAGTCGACTACCATATAACAATACAGACTGTCTGACAGTCATTCTATAAACTATTAATTAAAATCGTGATATCACTGCAGATGTACTTAGGGATGAGAGTGTGATTTAAATTTTGTTTCATCTGCGATATTGCATAAATGACAAATTAGTAAAAAGATGTACACAGATACATAAGAGAGAATCATGACACTGTTTTGATTAGTATGAATAAGAATTTACCTTTCTAAACTTGGAACTGTTAGATTAATATGAATGAGGATTTATCCCTAAATTAGAAACCGTTCACATTACTATGAGTAAGAATTTATGCTTCTGAAATAGTGCCTATTTTGATGGATATGAATGAGAATTTATCCCTCTAAAGTAGCAGTTGTATGAATTAATATGAATGAGGATTTTCCCCTAAATTAGGAACTGTTTAGATTTATGTAAGTGAGTAAATATCCCCCTAAACTAGCAATTGTTAGATCTTGTTCACCCTTCTTTTTTGTTGTGAATGAGGATTTCCGTTGACAAACTGGAGATGGATTGTCGACTTCCTGGAAGCCAGGGCATTGATGACTTTAAGCAGTAATTTAGGTCCATGCTATGTTCAGGTATTGATCATTTCTAGAAACATCATACACCTGACATGATGATAGATGACAAGTCCCTTACAATAGATATGGTAGGAAATATTCTTTTAATAGAGTGTCGTAAATCTACTTTAATCTGGCTCTTGCCAAACTTGAAAAAATTGTGTTTGGATGAAATTAAGGGGCTTGAAAAAAGATGTAGGATAGACACCACATCGATCTACTGCTAGTTCTGACAGTTCTTGTTTTGGTTTCATGTGAAGACCTTAGTACACCCTTAACTCCTTCTCCACAAACGAGTTAAAAGCAGCGTTAAACCCCTCACTCACTCACTCACTCATAGCCATTAATTACGATGATCCCAAGAAGTTACAGTGTGAAATAGCAAATCAAACGTGATCACATGTGATCAAAACATTTTATATGTTAAATCTGGACACACAGGAAACAAGTGATGTTTTCCCGCCTTGCACATGCACAGTTGCATTTCCTTTGGAGGATAGGGATTTCCTCACAACTATTAGATATGCTGGCAGTGAAGAGGACGTCTTTTGAAAATCTCAAGCTTTTATAGTGTGATTGCCATCCAAAATAGGATTTTACGGCTATGATGTAATATAGGTAGTATTGTTAGAATTATACTCAACAATAACTATTGTTTGAGCACCTGTCTTGTTTTCATAGTGTTTGTATGTGTGACTTATTCCTGTTTCTTTTGTTTCAGAGGTAAATCTCCACAGATGCTATGAGCAAGGAGGACAAACCTGCGCCAAGTCCGGTCCATGGACTGTTTGATGCAGCCAGCCACTTGCTGGGTATGTACTCTGCACCATCCTGAGTTATCCAGGGTATAATCTTCTTTCATTTATCATAAATACCCTGGACCGATTTTCTGCTATTTCTTTGTTTTGAGCCTGATTTGAAATGATGCTATGCTACAGGTTACCTTTCATTCAAATTACTCACAAGTGAGAGTTTGTATTAAGAGAGATGGCGATTTTGTGGCTAATGTGTCTTGGGCAATTATCATAATAGAAAGTAGATATTATTCATTCAACCCCGCCCCAAATGAAAACCCTTCCGTGGTTTAGTGGATAAGGTGTCTACCTGGAGAGCTGAAGGTCAGTGGTTAGATTCGCACTTGAGTCATACCAAAAGGTGTTATAAGGTTGTACTTGTTGTTACCCTGCCTGGCTCGACACTGAGGGGATGAAACAAGGACTGTTCAGCTCTAGTCAGTATACCATGTCTGAGTACGGTATCCATGTTAAACACGACACACACGTGTGAATGCATGTCGCTATGTGAATGTGGTAATCTTAAACGCGGTGTTAAACCCCATTTGACCTCAACATGTTATATGTAATAGTGTAGACAGAGTTCCTTTGCCAGGTGGGTTCCGTGTGTGGAATTCCAGCACACAATAATTCCCCATCAGCGATTCCTACTCCAAGGCGACACCCCATATTACAGCTGAAATTCTGTTCAAACCAGTGTTAAACCCAAATCACTCACTCATGAATACTCACGATGTCCTTCCATCTTCCAGGTCCCCCGCCACTGGGATCTGCCGTATCTCCGGGTGGCCTCCCCTTCCCAGCACTCGCACACCTCCCTGCTTTCTCATTCCTTGGTCGACCCCCGGGTTTCCCCCCCTCGGCGCTCTTCGGGTCCCTCGGAGCCTTGCCAAACCCCCTGTTTGCTCATGGCCCAAACCCAGTCACAGGTATGTTGTGTGTGTTTGTATCGTCCACTCTCTGGCGGGCCACTCTGGGCTTCCCATCAACATTAAACTGACGCGCTGTCATTAGTTGAATATGGCTCAAAGGTGGTTTTTATCCCAACTCACTCACTGACTTTGGTGAGTGATGATCTCTGAGTGTTGGGTTTTTGAAATTTTCCATGCATGATTGTATGCAAGCAACTTCAAATTAGAGGGGTAATGGTGATTTATTTTGCCTATTTTACGCAAATATGCAACTTAACTGGAGCTCTGCATGTTGGACTTGGTTCATGGTCCTTGACTCGTGTTCTGGTAATGTCAGATATAAATATATATGTATATGTAGGATATACATATACCTGACGTCCGGTTGCCATGGTTTTGTCAGTGATATATGTGTTTTATTTTATGCATTTAGGCAATGATAAGAATATTACCCTTACAAACGATATTACCAGGTTTTAAAATATTTATCTTTGGAATGGTGCGGCATGTTTTCATGTCAGTGATACAGTGTTACAACAAGGCTCCAGTGACAAATGTGGTGCCACATGTCTTGAACAATTCCTGACAAATGCCAAACTCTCATATAGAGCCATAGCATATTCCTTTCCAACCCACTGGTTGATTCAGTAACTGTGCCATCAAAATAAAAGGTCACATGGATAATGAAAGTTGCTAAAGTACCAGTATCATGGTTGTTTTGGATATCAGCCTCTTGGGGATTCTGGGTTAGAATATGTCCCCAGCAACCTATGCTGGTCATACCATGGGGATTGCGGGTTAGAATGTGCCCCCAGCAACCTATGCTGGTCGTACCATGGGGATTGCGGGTTAGAATGTGCCCCCAGCAACCTATGCTGGTCGTACCATGGGGATTCTGGGTTAGAATAGGTCCCCAGCAACCTATGCTGGTCGTACCATGGGGATTCTGGGTAAGAATAAGTCCCCAGCAACCTATGCTGGTTGTACCATGGGGATTCCGGGTTAGAATATGTCCTTAGCAACCTAGATGCTGGTCGTGCAATGGCATTCTGGGTTATATATGTCCCTAGCAACCTGTGCTGGTTGATTCATGGGAATTCTCGGGTTAGAAAATGTCCCTAGCAACCTATTCTGGTCGTACCATTTGTACCATTTGTGTTTGGCGATTACGAGGGGCAATTTTGAGACCCATGCAATTAAGATTATGCATAAGAAACTTGTTTTGCAATTTGTAATTCTTGTAAGGAGACAGTTACTGATGATCATGTATTAACTGTCTCTGAGTACAGGGATGATACATGGATGCATCGGTGGATACAGATTTGTTACTGCTCGATACTGTATGGATCACAATCGCACACTAAGTTAAAAGTATGAATTCTAACCTTAAATGTATTCTTTAGTAAATGTTACACCAAACACTTATTACAAGTGAAAATGAGTTGTGAAAACATACATACTTTCATCCATTGCGCCATACTTGCCACTGCCAATAGTAAATTGTTAGTGTGCCAGGTATTTGGCCATCTTGTCTATGAAAAAGATGACCTACAAAGCACTTATAAGAGCATATGCAAGTATCATGATGCCTATCGGATCGTGAGCAAGGTATCGTGATGCGTATCGAATCGCACAGTTGTTGTATCGTCCCAGCCCTACTGTCTCTTCTGGATAGACCAACTAGTGAAGGAATAGATAGTCATGACAGATTAACTATAGTGATATGAAAGAATGGCTCTTAACTTTTTTGGAGTAGTATATGATGATGGCACGGACCCTATCCATGCTTTCACGGGTTTGTCTGGACGAGACCTGATTATATACAGACTGCCATTGAATGGTTATAACAGTGCTCCATGCACTGTAACGATAATCCATTCACCAACCATACACTGAAAAAGTGGAATCAATGGCCAGAGGACTTCTACTTTGGTAATAGTTCGGATCCCAAAACTAATGTGGATGAGACCCATGAAGATCCGGGGTAGAATAAGTCTTCAGCAACCCATGCTTGCCATAAAAGGCGACTATGCTTGTCGTAAGAGACGACTGACGGGATCGGGTGGTCCGGCTCGCAGACTTAATTGATGCATGTCATCGATCCCAATTGTATAGATCGATGCTCATGATGTCAATCTCTGGAATGTCTGGTCCAGACTTGATTAATTACAGACCGCTGTCATATAGCTGGATTATTGTTAAGTGTGGTGTTAAACAAGCAAACAAACAAACAAACAAACAAACTAATGTGGATGGACAGACTTTTAAGGAAGAGGCTGTTTAGGATGTTCTGTACTGGTATGTTTTTTCTATTGATGACTTGTAAGAACATGTGGCTGAGATGGGTCTTCACTACCTTCCATGTTATGTCTTCAGGGAAAAAATAGATCTTACAAGACACTCATGAAATTAATTTCAAGAGGTTTGAGTCGAGGTACATGTCATTTCAAGCCCTTTGGCACCTGCCCAACATAACATAGCCAGTCACTTCACATTTACCTCTTGTATTAGCACCAGCCAGTGAGTGATTTTCAGATGGGGTGCTGATTGGTTTCGTTCCATCCGTGAGGCTATCACCAACTTGCCAGTATACAGAATTTGTCAGGGAACTGAATCTCAATGGGGCAAATTTCATTGTGCTGGAAAATTATATTTTTGCTGCCTTTGTCTTGTAAATTACACGGAAGTACAGATTACCATTTTATTATATATTAACCTGTTCCATTTATAAACTGAAACTATGTTATTCTCAGTATCAAGTTGATATTCTTCTCATTCCTATGAGGGAAGGTAGGCTAGCCTTGTGGTTAAAGTGTTAGCTTGTCATGCCGAAGACCTGGGTTTGTTTCCCCCCATGGGTACAATGTGTGAAGGTCATCATGGTGTTTTCGTAGAGGGGAATGTCCGAGTAACTCTCCACTCCTTATAAATAATGGAGCAGAGGCCCTGCAAGGTTCGAGGCCCATTATTTTAAAGGAATGGAGTTACGAGTATATTCCCCTACTTAAAACAAATCTCTACCTTTACACTTTGACAAAACATTCTAAAGAGTCATAAAACATTCATTGTAAAGATCAGCTCGCAACAGAGCACGTGCAACAGCGGCAGAGAACACAGTCAACTCTCCATTCCCTAAAAATAATGGAGCGCTCAAACAATTGAATGACATCACAGGTGTGTTTTAATGTCAGGATATGGCATGTATTAGTTGGGTCAGGTGTTAAAAAGGTGCCTTACGGAACGATTTACTCACCTTCAGTGACACCTTAGTCATAAGTATTGGGTGATTTCTAAATAAATGATCATGGCATTTTCCACAGATTCCGGTTTAGAATAGGTCTTCAGCAACCCATGCTTGCCTTAAAAGGTGACTATGCTTGTCGTAAAAGGCGACTAACGGGATTGTGTGGTCAGGCTTGCTGACTTGGTTGATGCTGACATCGATCCCAATTGCGTGGATTGATGCTCATGATATTAATCACTGGATTGTCTGGTCCAGACTCAATTATTTACAGACCGCCGTCATATAGCTGGAATATTGCTGAGTGTGGCGTCAAACAACAAACAAACAAACAATATGCTTATACAGTGTAGAACTTGAAGCCAGCCATTCTTTTGCACACCACATTTGGTTAGCAAGGACACTATTTGCAAATATATTCTTTTACAGCATGTGTAAATATTTCGAGTGATACAAGTTATTTGAATAGAAGTTGAGCCTGCTCAAAGGATTATCAGGTTGATGAAAAGATGTACATTTAAATACACGACCAAAAATTGTAAATGGTTGAAATTGTTGGTTTTGTGTGTAATTGTGTATGTTAATGTGAGGCAAATATTAGGATGCTTTGGTGCATGAGTGGTTCGCTATATGTATCGATGGGCTCAGTTACTCTTTAGTACATGCTCATTCAGACGGACAGACTACAATGCGCCAGCAGCTTAGAAACATTTACCATATAGGAATAGTGTTGTCTACCGCATCCGTGGCTGTCCCAGTTGTCCCCCTTTGGTGCCAGGTTCCTGTGATCATGGGTTTTATCCACGATTAGACCTGATTATCATGTTTAGTTGTCAGCACGACACCTGTGCTTGTTGGTTCATGAATGTGGTCAACAACCAAGACCTGAAGTTTTCTTTTTTATATTTTTTTGTTTACCCGGTATACAAACTCTTCCAGGCATCTGTATACATTAAATGTCCTAGGATATGATTCACTTAAAGCATCAATGTTAGGTAGGATTGTATATCCTCCCAAACTGGCTAATCACTTTGATCTGATTGAGCGGAATCTCCATTGAGATACAAAGAATTGTATCACAAAGCTTTATAGACCATTGTGACATCATCGGTTACCATGACATCACAATCAAATGGCATCACTAATCTTTTTGGTAAGTTTTACATTCAAGACACTGGTTATTAAAGTTTGCAAACGGAAAAAGTTGGAGAATGATTTTTGATGATAAATAGAAATTCAGCTGAGTCTTTTGTCAGATATATCAACTCAACTCGATCAAGACTTAAAACCCCTCGGCAAGCCTGGGAGGTTAAAAGACTAATGTTGATATATCTTATGTCAAAAGACACTGGGCTGAAATTCTCTATGAATGCAGTGTATTTTCATCAAGTAAAGACACAAAGCAAATATTGTCTGTTGCTTGCACAAGCAGAGTGTATAATAGTGAGGCCGACAGGCATGAAAATCTAGAATTTATTATGGTTAGGCGTTGAACTAGCTGGTTCTCTCATCATATATTTGATTAATGTTGGTTGATGGTTTGTTGTTTAACGCCGCACTCAGCAATATTCCAGCTATATGACGGCCGTCTAAATAATTGAGTCTGGGCCAGACAATCCAGTGATTGACATCATGAGCATCGATCCATGCAATTATGATCGATGACATACATCAACCAAGTCAGCACGCCTGACCACTTGATTCCGTTAGTCGCCTCTTACAACAAGTATAGTCACCTTTTAAAGCAAGCATTGGCTGCTGAAGACCTATTCTACTTTGGATCTTCACAAGTTAACGGGAGATATTGTTCCTTATATCAACCACTGGTTTGCTTGTCGCAACTTGATTAAATCCTGGCTGGTGTGATATTGCTGACTGTGATGTAAGACAACCAGAACCTGATGACACGGATCATTGCTCACAATGAGTTTGATCCAGGATCAAGTGCTTCCATGCAGGAGTGCATTAACTGTGTTAATTCTAATTAATCCACAAAACACCAGTCACTCAATGGAGGCCAGACCCATGAAGATCTGGGGTAGAATAGGTCTTCAAAAGGCAACTATGCTTGTCGTAAGAGGCGACTAACGGGATTGGGTGGTCAGACTCGGTGACTTGGTTGAATCATGTCATCATATCCCAATTTTGTGGATTGATACTCATTATATCAATCACTTGAATGTCCAATCCAGATTTGATTATTTACAGACCGCTGTCATATAGCTGGAATATTGCTGAGTGCGGCGTTAAACAAAAAAAAAATCAATGGAGGCCAGATATGCTCTGAATAGGAATATTTAACTATAGTTCCTGGATGTCAGCTGTGATATCTTGCCTGATTGCCTGTCACTAGTGTTATGATTGCTTTCATGTGACAGCAGTATGTGCAACCTGACCCTATACCCTGTTTCCTGATGAAACTGGTACCCATGCAGGAAAGTCCTACTAGTTTACGCAAACACTTTGCCTTACACTGCTGATGTCAGTATCACATGAAATGTCACAGCTGCAAGTCAGCGAGGAAATCTGGAAATTTATTGCTTGTGTCTGACAAGGACAGTCAACAAATATGGCCGAATCTTGGAAAGCTCCAGTGTTGGAGTTACCTGATCAATGAATAGCAGCTGAAACTAAAATTAAGATGATATTTTGAGATACAATCTGATAGCTATTGAGGGTTGACTTGGGACTTGAATTATTGAATGTTGATCTGCTAGTCGATCTGTTGTTACTGTCAAGAATAAAACATCAAGGTTTTATATGCTTGAAAGTGCCTCCTATGTGTTGGAGCACGGGTTCCCCAATCGTCTAAAGCGCCACAATTTGCTGCGCAGAGTTATGTCCCTTTGGCACGCCAGAAACGTGCGATCACAGGTTTGAATCCCTGTTCGCCCTGATTATATATCTAGGTTTGTCAGCACCATACACTTGCGTGGGATTAGCGAAAGTGGTAAACGTCTAAGGCATGCATCACTTAGGGCTTTCCTCCCACATTAAGCTGACATGCCGTGATAGAACTGGAATACTGTTCAAAGCAGCCTTAAACCCAACTCACAGTCGTGGTCAGAATAAAACATCAAAGCTTCGAAGGACCTCCAAAATGTAAATTTGTCAAGATAATAATTTGGAAGTAGGAAAATAGGGCATATATGTATATTCGTCATGAGGGGCTTCCCGGGAAGGACAGTTCCTTATTATCCCATGCTTGTCCTTAAACCCAGCTGAAGTAAGATTGCATGTCTTTGTACTCTGATGGATTGATGCTCATGTTATCAACCACTTGTCGACCAAGATCCAGTTGATATCTGTCTGCTGTGATATAGCTGGAAAACTGCTGACACCAGCATAAAATAACATTCACTCACCTCCAAGACACTTTCGAAGAATAAGCAGCCTCTTACCTTAATGACAGTATATCCTGATCAGTGAGTGAACCAAGTGTAATCGACCTGCAGTCGTTACCACGCATTACCTAAAATTATCATAACCTAAAGGTATATTAATTATACAAAAAAATGGGGGGAATGTTTTGACGCATGAAAAAAAAAGAAAAAAAGAACATCTTAAGTTGAGCCATGCCTAGCCTATGGGTACTGACGCTTTATCTGCTCAATAGGTGGCGCCGACTGGTGGCGATCTGCGTCTGAGCAGGCTCGTAGACTTGCGGAGGGTACAGGGCTGGAGGTATATGCTGGCAGTTTGGGCAGTGTGCTGCCTCCATCTTTCTCACCACTCGCCACAGGGCTGGAGTTCCCCCACCGTGTGGGGCTCGAGCACCTGCTGCGAGCCCCTGTCGACATGGATCACAGTAAGCACGGGCAAACACTCGAGTCAATCGCTTCGTAGGACGCTCGCTCACAGTCTCGCTCGCAACCTCGCTCAGTCGCTCTTGGTGTTGTTGTTTGTCCACGTGAAGTAGATTGCACTCTTCCAGTCATGAGAAACTAACAAGATCGAAATTATACTTGATATTTATTGATTCCATTTGAATAAAGAAATGTCACGAAAATCGAGAGTTGTATTTGAAGTTGTTTCAAAGTTTTTGGGCTATTTGTTTGTTTAACTTTGTAGCTGCCTGCAAATGTAACATCAAAGTCTAATTAAGATTGCAATATTGATGAATTTCAAACAACTAATTCTTGAAGTATGACATGTCTGTATTAACAATATTTTTATTGAATCTCAATGATATGAATTAGCATATGAGTATCTATTTAAGAAAGTTAACCTAAAAAGTTAATAAGATTTATATTTTAAGTTTACCAAGATAATATTTGCTATCTCATGGCTGGTTTTGAAAGTGGTCTTGTGACGGACTTACGTGTTGTCTTGTGTAGTTCTATATACATAATCAATCGTGCACCTAGACTCTCCTCTCTCATCACCATCTTTTCTGTCATGGAGTGTGTTGGCTCTCTATTTTGAAATTGTCACCTCATTACTCAGTGCTTTTTTCCCATCCTCTTCAAACACTAGAAAATCTACACGACTATTGGTTTCATTAAAGATTGAATTCAAAAGAAATTAATATGCGATTATTGTATTTACGTATACAAAATTATTTATTTTAAGTGAAAGTTTATTAACTTGGTGTCATACGATACAGGTTTTAATTACTGTTACTCTATCGAATATGAATAAATTTCGGTTACAGTCTTCTTGAATGGCAATGTTGTCTTTAAAAATTAAGTTGTAAAATTTGATTTTGCATGGCTAAAATTGATGAACTGCTTGTTTTATTTTGTTTTTGCAAATGGTTCACTTAGCATTCACATTGATCCAAACATTGAGAAGGAAAGCAATGAAACAGTGATATAGAGCAACAAACATTTATTTCTGGTGTACATGCCCCTCTGCCTGCATATATTCTTCAGCCCTGAGTTTGTGTAGTGGTACTTCAACTAGAAGTACAGCGTAGTTATCTCCCTTTAGCAATTCTACGTGCTGCACACCTATCAAATAGACAATGCTGCACAGGGGTTGTAATTTTGTAGAATGTATTATTTGAAGCATTTTGTTACATGCATAGGTTTTTTTCCTTGAATTGTCAATAAATGTTATAAATTGATAATAATTTATTTGGTACAAATATCATTTAGTTAGTGCAATCATTTTTCCCAAGGATGAAAATTCATATTTGATGAAATTTATGTTTGTCATGAGAATTTTTGCTATGAATCACTCATGGATATGATTAACCCTTGGGATTAGACTGCCAGTGTACTTGACAGATGACAAGTGAATTAGGTCATCGCAAGTTTTTTACCTTTCAGGGCCATGATCTACAGGGGTGATACTTGTGTAACTGGTTCAATATTTAGACTTATGACATGTGTAGCAGTAAGATCTCTTTGTAGAACGGGACCAGGTTTTGTAGTAACACGTTTAAGACTGTATATTGTCTTAAGAAGTGAGCAGTTATTGGGCATGTTAGTTTTTGAGTAAATTAAGTGACATGCCCACATGGGTTTAGATAGGAATTCTCAAATATTTAGGAACTGAAGACATTTTATGTGATTGAAAAAAAGGGAAATTGTTGTAGCAATTATGTTTGGACTCAGTATTTGAAATTAAGCATGGGGTCCTTGTTTTAAAGGTGACCATTGATTCTAATGCCAGGGTTTCAGATCGGTTCCATGGCATTGACTGAATGGCAACCAAAATGACCTTGGAAAATGGTATGGAATAACCTCTGAGACCATCAGGACCCTTAATTTCAAACGCTGGCTGGACAAAACATTTTTTTCCTCTTTCTTATGAAACATTGTATAGTATTTTTTTTTGTCATTGATCATTTTTCTATTAATAATTGAAATTTTAACTTTGTGATATAGATCGAGCGCTCTCTGACTATCTTGACTTTGGGCTATCTCCAGGCTCTCTGTTGTCGGGGATGAAACATCTTGCCGAAGCTTCCGCAGGAGGTCCAATATCGTCAAAACAGTCGTCATCGTCATCACGCTCACGAGGCACCAAGTCATCTACATCAACGTCATCGTCCTCCACTGCCAGGAGCCTCCTCAATGGCACAGGGCCTAGTTCACATAGTGATGGACGTAAACGCAAACAAAAATCATCCTCTTCTCACTCATCAGGGACGCCCTCGCCCGCCATACCATCATCAACGTCATCATCGTCAACGTACAAGCCATCCTTACCTAAAAGTGAATCACCATTGGCTTTAACCACTACTGTTCAACCATCACAAGAAGTAAGTTCAGCTTGGTTTGGAGAACCTTAATAAAGTTTGCGGGATATAGAAACAGGCTCCATTCTTCTGTCATTTACAGTATGTTATCATATCCCAGTGTAAATCTAGTAGTTTGTTTCCATCAAGATTAGACCCGTGAAGATCCGGGGTAGAATAGGCCTTCAGCAACCCATGCTTGCTGTAACAGGTGACTATGCTTGTCATAATAGGCGACTCACGGGACCGGGTGGTCAGGCTCACGGACTTGGTTGATGCAGGTCATCATATCCCAATTGCATGGATCGATGCACATGATGTCGATCACAGGATTGTCTGGTCCAGACTCGATTATTTACATTTGCCGCCGTCATATAGCTGTAATATTGCTGAGTGCGGCGTTAAGCAACAAACAAGTGAGTGAGTGAGTATGGTTTTACGCCGCTTTTAGCAATATTCCAGCAATATCACGGCGGGGGACACCGGAAATGGGCTTTACACATTGTACCCATGTCGGGAATCGAACCTGGGTCTTCGGCGTGACGAGCGAACGCTTTAACCACTAGGCTACCTGACCGCCCCTAAGCAACAAACAAGGTCTGAGTATGTTGACAATGTTGTTTATGCCTATGTCACACTGATGTGTCACAGAAATCGTCGCCTGTCCACAAAAAGAAGAGCAAGAAAGTAAACATGGCTGAAAACGGCAGCCATTCGGATCTAAGCTCTTCAAGCTCTAGTCTCAGTGATGACAGCTCAGGAGAAAATCTGTCCAGTGATGAGTTCGATAAGAAGGCAGGTGCCCTAGCTCACCAGATAGACGGGCTGAAGAAGAAGCTGCTGGCCGACCAGATCCGCCAACGTGTGCAGAGTAAACCAGAGTCGCCCCAGTCCTCCTCAAAGTCACACGAACACAGTCGCTCATCCAAGTCCTCACATCATGATCGGGTAGGGAAAATTTACATAGTTTACAAAGACACAATATAGACCAGTTAAAAAATTATTCTTGTTTCTCGTGGGTAATAGTCTGGCCCAGACTTGATTTATTACTGAGCACAGTCTCATAGCTAGAATATTGCTGAATGGGGGGTTAAACAACAATAAATCAAATTTTATTGATTTATCATGCAAACTCTTTTGGCAAGTCCCCTGTGGTTCGAAGTATGATGACAGTATGGCAATGTGCTGAGTCCTTTTAGAGGTGAATTATTTGCTCCCTCTACAATAAAATGGCAGTACAAAATAAAATAAATTTTGAACAGTTGCTCAATTTTATTGACAAAGAAGGGAAAAATTTACAAATGTGTATTCATTTGGTCTCAATAAAGTGTGTTGGGGCCTTATTGACTAATGGTGTACCTTGACCCCTGGACTAGTGGTGTGCAATAATCTGTACTTGTCCTAAGAGGCGACTAACGGGATCGGGTGGTCAGGCTCGCTGACTTGGCTGATACATGTCATCGATCCCAATTGTGTGGATCGATGCTCATGATGTTAATCACTGGATTGTCTGGTCCAGACTCAATTATTTACTGACCGCCGTCATATAGCTGGAATATTGCTGAGTGTGGCGTTAAACAACAAACCAACCAACTGATGTACTTGTCAGGAACGGAAGTTGCGGGAGGAGGAGTTGCGGCAACTGGAGGCGGAGCTGCAGCACCAGCAGAAGCAGCTCAAGCAGCTCCAGAAGCAGGAGAAGGAGGCAATTCAGCACATGCCAGAACAGGCGTCGTCAGGAGCATCCTCCCCATGTCACAGCAGCACCACGGGACTCAAGCTCCACATCAGTAAAGCTGCAATAGCTGTAAGTAGGGTGGGTCCCATTGGGGTCAGAGTAGTTGCTCAGTAACCAACCCCATGCTTGTCTCGGTCAGTACTCCATGAGAAGTCCAGGTCCTCTGCAACCCCATGCTTGTCTCCCTGTGGGAAGTCCAAGTCAGAATAGGTCCCGAGATCCCATGCTTGTCTCCCTGTGGGAAGTCCAGGTCAGAATAGGTCCCGAGATCCCATGCTTGTCTCCCTGTGGGAATTCCAGATCAGAATAGGTCCAAGATCCCATGCTTGTCTCCCTGTGGGAATACCAGATCAGAATAGGTCCGAGATCCCATGCTTGTCTCCCTGTGGGAATTCCAGATCAGAAAAGGTCCGAGATCCCATGCTTGTCTCCCTGTGGGAAGTCCAGGTCAGAATAGGTCGCGAGATTCCATGCTTGTCTCCCTGTGGGAAGTCCAGGTCAGAATAGGTCCCGAGATCCCATGCTTGTCTCCCTGTGGGAAGTCCAGGTCAGAATAGGTCCCGAGATCCCATGCTTGTCTCCCGTGATCCCATGCTTGTCTCCCTGTGGGAATTCCAGGTCAGAATAGGTCCCGAGATCCCATGCTTGTCTCCCTGTGGGAATACCAGATCAGAATAGGTCCCGAGATCCAATGCTTGTCTCCCTGGCGGATGTCCAGGTCAGAATAGGTCCCGAGATCCTATGCTCGTCTCCCTGTTGGATGTCAAGGTCAGAATAGGTCCCGAGAACCTTTGCTTGTTGGAATAGGTCTCCATTAATCCCATGTTTCTAAGAGGTGACTAAGAGAATCAGATGGTGTGACCTCACTGACTGTCATTGTGCTCCCATGAGTTTAGTGATTGTTGCTTACTGTTTGCTTGTAGTGTGTGTGTGAGGGATATTTGTCTCAAAACATGAACTTGTTTTGAATAGTATATATATGATATATGAGAATATCATGCTTTGGAAAGTCAACAATTTGTGTAGCCTTTAATTCGTATATCTATTCCAGAAACACCTAAACCACAGACTAGGAGAGGATGGCCCTGGAACTTCAAAGTCCAGTCTGAACACCTCGGGTAGTGAGTCAGGGGGAGACAACTCTAATAATTCTGATTCAGGTCAGTAACCATAGCAACATGACTTTCTTGTCTATTTATATCTCAGGTAAACATGTGAAAGTCTTTGCCATGAGATTGGTACATCCTGATGTATTCATATTGAAATGTTTCCATAAGCAAATACAGGTTGATGGTGTATTTTGGAAGATTATTTCAACAATTTAATGTTGTAATCTAAACATACAGTAATGGTGGACTTGCCCTTGTTGAAGTGCCTAATTCCTGTCTCAGTCAGATATTGTAACTTGTGACTTGTTGTTGGACATTTTCCATGTGTTATTATGGTAAAAGTTACCTGCTACTTCACAGTGTTTGAAAACTCACAAAAGTTTTGAATTACCTGAATTTAACTTGCTGGGTCCCCTAATTAGAGCAAGTCTAGTTTCCTTTTAAATAATCTACCACCACTGTGGTCTAGTGGAGAGAGCATCTGCTTAGAGAGTGGATGGTCAGTGGTTTAATCCCCTTGCTGCGTCACACTAAAAGATGGTACTTTTTGTTACCCTGCCTGGTGCTCGGCATTATGGGGATAAAACCAGGTCGGCTCAGAGAGAGTATACTGTGTCAGAGTGTGGTATTCATGTTAAACTGAGTCATGGTATCTCAGTGGGCTAGTGCTATAAAACTGGCATAAGTTAGGAGCAGTGCAAAGAGCCACACACACACATGCATGCACCTCATCTTTATATCATGGTCCCTATATTCATGGACTGCTTGCTCTCTGTACGTGACAGAGAGTGACAGTGACAACTCCGACGATGACAGCGGGGACAGTGACTCGGAGAGTGACCCAGATGCCTCTCGTAACGAGGATGGGACGAAAAAGACCAAAACTGAGGATGGGGAGGAAGGTAAGTGTCCTGGTTCCATTTTATTTCCATGACAACAGTAACAAAGGTTGTTCATTAATTGTTTTTGTGTTTGTGTGCTCATTTTGACAATTGAACCATAGAATCTGTAAATTCATACAGTATTCCAATACATGTTTTGAGATATTAAAAAGGAATACATGACATATATAAGCTAGAACTTCTTGGTTTTAGTTTTTTCAAGTGTCATTTCAGGGGAATGAGGTTTTTAAATTGTTCTTTCTTTGAATGTTGTGAAGTTGGATGGGTAAAGGGAGATAACTCACCTCCTTATTGTACTGAACAGAGAATGTCGGGTATCATTTGCAGTGATGAATTTAAGATTGTAATCCATTTATTCGATAAAAGCCTCACCAGCAAAGCGTCGTCGCATCATTACAAATGAAAATGACCTTCGCATTCCCCTTGAGCATGGATGGCGACGACAGACAACAATTCACACAATGGGTCGCAGAGGCATTGTGGGAGAAGTGCTGTACTTTGCACCATGTGGGAAGAAGATGAAGACAATTCCTGATGTGATGAGGGTGAGAGGATCTTTTTGTGATTGGTTCAATGTTTGGTGGCCCAGTGTTTAAATTGTTGCAATCTACTGTGCAGAGTTGCATCCCTTAACTGTGCCAGGATCTGCTAGTCAAGGGTTCAGATTCCGTTTTGCCCCAGTTATTGTCTTTTGTCAGGTGTGTCACTATTTTGAAGTTGGGTTTAACCAAAGTGGCGGTCATCAGTAACCTTGACCTCTTGCAACAATAAGCTAATAAACGTCTATGATATGACTGAAATTTCGTTGAAAGCTGTTTGAGTCAATGTGCAGTCAATGTTCGCTGATAATGTATGCCTAGTTTTGACCTTGTGTCTTATTGAATGGCTTCTTTCTCTGCCTCTTACATGTTGGTGTTTGTGCCAGTAAAACAAGTCATTCATGTGGCTTTGTGATGAAAGGGTTTATAATCATGGTGAATACCCGAGACAATCCTTGTACCCTTGGCCATGATAGTGCTACAATATTGCTACTATTAATACCAGCTTGTACACTCTTGCAATGTGGAAGGAATGCATCTTCCTTAGGCAAGGGAGTTAACTGACTATAAAAGTCCAGTTTCCACCCTTGGAATTATGGACTTATATTTTGACTGGACTTACGAGTCTATGCATAGTCCAATCAAAATTGTGTTGCGAAATCGACATCCGGTTCGCAAACTGTCGTGCAGATTTCGGTTGATTGCAGAATTTGCAAAGCATGTGTACTGTCAACTTAGCGTCAACAGATATTTTCCAAATCTTTTCATGTTTTTAATCAAGGTGCTCATGTGATGTGATGCACATCGTGAAGTAAGACCCGTTTTATTACAAATAGATCTTGATTATCAATCAGATCGTCATTGAAACAAATGCAAGTGATATAGAGGTGGAATCTGATTGGGCAATAGGAGGGACATAGAAGGTACCTAACTCGTCATAACCAAACGATCGAGCCCAGAAATTCCAGAGTAGTTCGGCAAGGGTGGAAACTTGACTTTTACATTCAGTTAACTCCCTTGCCTCGGGAAGATGGAAGGAATAATGATTTCCAAAAAACTAGGAAAAATGAATCATTGACGATATTAACAGTCGGATATTTATACTTTGCTTATGTTACCTGTTTAAACATAATCCACATTGCTTTTGGTGTAAACCTACTGTTGACACTGATTGACTGTTTTCTGTTCCAGTACTTGGATAGAAATAGCATCACAGACCTCTCCAGAGACAATTTCACATTCAACACCAAGGTTAATGTCGGCGAGTTCTCCGAGATGAGACATGGGCATGTGGTGAGTAGGGGCTGGTCATTGTCACATACTTGTCGAATTTTATTTTTAATTTGTTGATTAACAAAAGTTTGGCTGAAAATTGAAGCTTTTGGAAATATAAAAATCAACTTCAAAGTTATGTATTATTAATGAATGAAAAACCAATATATGCTACTCAGTTTTTGATTGGGATATTTTAATCTTCCATGATACATCTCATAATATGTCAAGTGTATATTAGATATATCTGTAACCATGAAGATCTGGGTTAGAATAGGTCTTCAGCAACCCATGCTTGCCGTAAGAGGTGACTATGCTTGTCGGAAGAGGCGACTAATGGGATTGGTAGTCAGGCTTGCTGACTTGGTTGATGTATGTCATCGTATCCAAATGGTGTAGATCGATGCTCATGATGTCAATCACTGGATTGTCTGGTCCAGATTAAATTATTTACAGACCGCCGTTGTATAGCTGGAATATTGCTGAGTGCGGCGTTAAACAACAAACACACTAAATATGTGTGACAATTACTAATTATCCCTATCAAAAGTTGAGTAGTAAATTTAACTTGGCAAGACATTGAGTTAAGTGTTGCCAGTCCAAAGTTTGACACTAGGTTCATCAGGTTCTGTCATCTTTGTGTGCAGACACAGGCATGGATCTATATATAAGTGAAGTAGCATTCAATTTAAATAGAGTTTGGACTCTTTATAAACCGTACAGTGATGCAGGCTGATAAATTTGTTTTGCCCAAACAACATTGATGGAAAGATCCATGCTGTCACATCACTCACTCACTCACTCACTCACTCACTCACTCACTCACTCACTCTGTAGATGCCTGTGCCACTGGTGGAGGCAGAGATTCTAGAGCGTATCGCCATGTCGAAGGGCAAGCGAGCCAGGATGAAGGAGCTGGCCCAGAAGAGGAAGGAAAAGGCCCTGAAACAGCAGGAGCTGGCCAAGCACTTCATGGAAGTGAAGCTGAAGCGGAAGCTGGAACAGCAAGGTCAGTACTGGGAAGGGGATGTGTCAATACTGGCAGTACTGTATTTGCTTTGGGGGATGTGTCAATACTGGCAGTACCATACTTGCTTTCCGGGATGTGTCAATACTGGCAGTACCATACTTGCTTAGGGAGATGTGTCAGTACTGGCAGTACGGTACTTGAAAGGGATGTGTCAATACTGGCAGTACCATACTTGCTTTGGGGGATGTGTCAATACTGGTAGTACTATACTTGCTTTGGGGTATGTGTCAATACTGGCAGTACCATACTTGCTTTGGGGGATGTGTCAATACTGGCAGTACCATACTTGCATCGGGGGATGTGTCAATACTGGCAGTACCATACTTGCTTAGGGAGATGTGTCAATACTGGCAGTACTGTACTTGCTTTTGGGGGATGTGTCAATACTGGCAGTACCATACTTGCTTTTGGGGGATGTGTCAATACTGGCAGTACTGTACTTGCTTCGGAGTGTGTGACAATATTGGCAGTACCATACTTGTTTTGGGGTATGTGTCAATACTGGCAGTACCATACTTGCTTTGGGGGATGTGTCAATACTGGCAGTACTGTACTTGCTTAAGGGGGATGTGTCAATACTGGAAGTACTGTACTTGCTTTGGGGTATGTGTCAATACTGGCAGTACCATACTTGCTTAGGGAGATGTGTCAATACTGGCAGTACTGTACTTGCTTAAGGGGGATGTGTCAATACTGGAAGTACTGTACTTGCTTTGGGGTATGTGTCAATACTGGCAGTACCATACTTGCTTTTGGGGGATGTGTCAATACTGGCAGTACTGTACTTGCTTCGGAGTGTGTGACAATATTGGCAGTACCATACTTGTTTTGGGGTATGTGTCAATACTGGCAGTACCATACTTGCTTTGGGGGATGTGACAATATTGGCAGTACTGTACTTGCTTTTGGGGATGTGTCAATACTGGTAGTACCATACTTGCTTTGGGGGATGTGTCAATACTGGCAGTACCATACTTGCTTTGGGGGATGTGTCAATACTGGCAGTACCATACTTGCTTTGGGGGATGTGTCAATACTGGCAGTACCATACTTGCTTTGGGGGATGTGTCAATACTGGCAGTACCATACTTGCTTTGGGGGATGTGTCAATACTGGCAGTACCATACTTGCTTTGGGGGATGTGTCAATACTGGCAGTACCATACTTGCTTTGGGGGATGTGTCAATACTGGCAGTACTGTCCTTGCTTTGGGGGATGTGTCAATACTGGCAGTACTGTACTTGCTTAAGGGGGATGTGTCAATACTGGCAGTACTGTACTTGCTTAAGGGGGATGTGTCAATACTGGCAGTACTGTACTTGCTTTAGGGGGATGTGTCAATACTGGCAGTACCGTACTTGCTTTGGGGGATGTGTCAATACTGGCAGTACTGTCCTTGCTTCGGGGGATGTGTCAATACTGGCAGTACTGTCCTTGCTTCGGGGGATGTGTCAATACTGGCAGTACCATACTTGCTTTTGGGGATGTGTCAATACTGGCAGTACCATACTTGCTTTGGGGGAAGTGACAATATTGGCAGTACCATACTTGCTTTCGGGGATGTGTCAATACTGGCAGTACCATACTTGCTTTGGGGGATGTGACAATATTAGCAGTACCATACTTGCTTTGGGGGATGTGTCAATACTGGAAGTACTGTACTTGAAAAGGAATGTGTCAGTACTGGCAGAACTATACCTAACGGATATGTCAATACTGGCAGTACTATACTTACTAGGGGTGACTATTTGTCTGGAAATCACTATTGCGATAACTATTGATATTGAAAGAAACTATGCCAATAACTATTGATATTGCAAGCAACGATAGTTTTCAGTGTATCATTTTAGATGGATTTTGGAGTTGAATTCAACCTTAGAACTGACGTTTCCTTTGAATGTGATAACCATAGCAACAAATAAAAGTAAAGTTTGAGATATGACTGATTTGTTTTCTCTTTACCCTAATAATTTAAGAAAAAGGAACTTCCATATTACCATGTGTAAATTACTACCACTCATGATCAAAAGAAAAACAAATTTGAACAGCAGTACATGTATTTTATTGATATGGTAAATACAATCGAAACTATCGATATTCCTAACTGAAATCGATACTATTGATCCGAAACTGATTAATCGATTTATTGATTTTAAGTGCTTACCAATAGCAGTATATCGATATTTCGATTTATCGTGACACCCCTAATACTTACAAAGGGTATATGTCTATGGTAATATACTGGCAGTACTGTACTAAGAAGGGATGTGTCAATACTGGCAGTACTGTTCTTGAAGGGGATGTGTCAATACTGGCAGTACTATACATGCTTAGGGGATTGTCAATACTGGAAGTACTATACTTGAAGGGGATATGTCAATACTGGCAGTACTATACTTGAAAGGGGATCTGTCAGTATTGGCAGAACTATACCTAACGGACATGTCAATACTGGTTGAACTATACTTGAAGGGGGATGTGTCAGAACTGGCAGAACTACACTTCCATAGTGTATATGTCTATGGTAACATACTGGCAGTACTGTACTTGCTTCTGGATTATGTCTATAGCACAATTAATACTTCAGTACAATACTTCAGTACAATACTGTCAGGTGATACATCAATACTGGAAGTTCCTAGTTGGGCGATGTGTCAATAGCGGTAGTACTTTGAGAGGAAATGCATCAACACTGCCAGTACTTTGTAAGGGGTTGTGTCAATACTGCCAGTACTTTGTGAGGGGATGTGTCAATACTGGCTGTACTCTGTTTGGTGAAGTCAATACTGGCGGTACCATACTTGGGAAGGAATACAGTGGTTGTTGGCTGATGTGTTTATACTGCAGTGCAAATTGGGTTCGAGGATGCATCTGAAAAGGGCAGTTCTTGGTTAGGTATTAGTGAGTGAGTGAGTGAGTTGGGTTTAATGCCGCTTTTAACAGTATTCCAGTTATATCGCGGTGTGTCAGCTTAATGTGGGAGGAAAGCCCAAAGTGATGCAGGTCTCAGACATTTACCACTTTGGTGAAACCCACGAGCACGGGTATGGTGCTGACAAACCTAGAAACATAATGTGGGCGAACCGGGATTCGAACCCACAATCATAGGTTTCTGGCGTGCCCAAGGGACGCAACTGTGCACAACGAACCGCAGCGCCTTAGACGACTGGGCCACCCGTGCCCCCTGGTTAGGTATTATGTTAATGCTTTGTGCTGGGAAACAAAATATAATTTAATGAACTTTGCAAATTTGATTCATCTTTAGATAATATGTTATGTGAAACTTCATGACCTTTTTTCTTTATACATTTTGCATCCTTTTCTGGTTTCTCTGTTTTGCTATGGTTGTCGAATTCATGCATGCTGTTGAAGAGCATTTTTGTGGTTGCCATGGTTACCTGTCAGTCAATTCCAGGAATTGGATTTTCTTCCGAAAATAAGGTTTATTTTCTGCATTGTGATTTAGTTTGTGTTTGTTTGCTGATAATGCTTTTGTGAGGTTTGTGGTTTAAACTGAAAGTTATTTTTTCAGAGGCTCACTCTATTGGTAAGACATTTGCTGCTTTTTGTTCAACTTCGACACTGTCAACCCCTTCACAATGACATTAGTCTGAGATTGCTTTGTCAGTGACTGTGTGACCTCACTTGGTGGAGAAACAAAATTAAAATACCTCAAATAACGCCTGTGAACCCGGGGAGAAAGAAGGAAATGAGCTGAAGTGTGAAATGTTTGTGTCGTGGGAGGGGATCAAGGTTGTTCGGTGAAACCACCGTTTGGAATAATCAGTATGTGTTGTAATTTAGCAGGAACTTTCTTATCCACTAACCCCATCCATACCTCGGTCTGTTCAATACTCTCTCTCTCTCTCTCTCTCTCTCTCTCTCTCTCTCTCTCTCTCTCTCTCTCTCTCTCTCTCTCTCCTTTCCTTTCCTCACTCCTCTTCTCCCCTCCCTCCCTCCCAAAGCAACATTCTCTCTTCTGATCAGGCCAGTCAATTTCTGCATTTTCATTTTAAAACATGACACTTATCAATACACTGAGCTTCTGAGAGTAACTGGTAATAATATTTTGATGGGCAATTTCTTGAATGTAAACTTTAAAAAAATATATAGTTAAAGTTTAGACCAATACCGACAAATATAGAAAGCAGCCGTCTATTCTTTTTGAACCAATAAATGAAATAATAGCCAATTTCCATGTACACGTCACCCTTGTGCGCCATTCTTGATCCTGTCTGTATTGTTTTGTTCGTAAAACTCGATGGATTTCTAGGAGTTAGTGTGTGGTGTTCTCTGTCACAAATACTAATGCCAGGCTCTTTAATTCCTGCGAATACCATACTTTTGTTCCATCATTGCCATAATCCTGTATTTTGGCTGTTATCACACCATAAAAATCTTTTAGATTTTCAACAGAAGTCCACTTCATTGTCAGCTGACCCTAATAAGTCGTGTAGATAATAGTTTTCTTCCTCTCAATGTTCTGCGTATTCGCAGAGTGGGAAAACCTCACTTCTTCCCTGTGTGTGACAGTAGTGAGTTAAAATTTTACCTCGCATAGGCGTTATTTCAGCCATATTGCGAATTGTGTGCCAGAAGCAACATCTGAAACAATTTTCTGAGTATTTTAGGAGATAGTACGTGGTGATTTCCATCACAAACACTAATGCTAAGTTCTTTTTCTGCTGTAATGATATCATATTTACAACATTTAGTGCTAACTTTGCTTAAAATAACATTTTGTCGCCACAAAGTTGTTTTATGAAAACCATTAACTATGACTTCGCTGAGGATTTATTTTGCTGCCTTTTGAAATATATCATCATGGGTATCTTGATTATGTGTTGAAAAACAGGAAAGTGTTCTTGTTTTTACAGAGATTTAGTTGATGCAGATGTTTTCTCGTTGACAATTGAGTTATACTTGTATACGGGAGTCATTCAAAGACTTGATGCAGACCAAGGAACTTGCCATGTTAAAGATAATTATGTTCTATTGTGCAGACTTATTAGTTTGCACAGCTGTTGTCTTTTTTGCATGATTCAAAATTATTTCTTGAACGAAATGGGTAGTATTATAGTGTTTTCATTATTGAATCTAGTTCATGAATGCTTTGTTGTATAGTTTGTGAAAAGTGACATTTAGATTTGGATTGAATCTAAATCTTATGTAATGGGATTTTTGTGAATATGGTTTTTACCTATCCACAAAATGTTATGAAAGAAGGTTTATTTTCCGGAATAAGATATAAAAGAAAAATGACAATCGAGAAAAGGACAAGGAACAATTAATTGTGTTCAGTAAACAGTGTTGCTTTTTCATAATTATCTTTTTTGAAAAACAAAAAATTGACATTGGTTTGTAAGTCCCTCATAAGCAAATGGAAGGCTTCTGTCCCCAAATAATTAAGGAAAACTTTGGAGTAAAGTTGACTCTGTGTATTTGTAGAGCTTGCGAAAAAAGCTGCAGAGAACAAATTTCAGAAGAGACTTGACTTACAAAGGCAGAAAGAGCTTTCGAAGAAGTCAAACCAGCTCAAAGGTAGGCAACTGAAGTGTTGCTCAAAGTGCTTTATTTTTGTTCATAACCCCCACCCAGAACCTGATACCCGTATATCCTTTTGTTCATATATCTTCTTATTGTCACATATCTCACAATTTACACACTTTACAAAATTATGATTTTTTTTCAACGATAATGGTTGGCATTGGTTATATTGGAATGAACTGATAATTTGACAATGAGTTTTTGTGACTAACACACACATTTTTGAGCATCAGCATATTTTGATCTAACCTATTTGTGTTTGATCTTCCCTGTGTTGCAAACCACGCTATAATCCCCTCTTTCCCATGCCTCCGTTAATCCCTCAGTAGTAGTAGTTCTGCACCATTGTATCAGCTGATTACACTCTGACTAACAACCAGGTTCTTGTCCGGGGCAGGGAGATGTTTTCTTCACCTAGAAACCCTGTACGTTCAAACCATTGGAAACAATACAGGAGCATATTTGTTTGGTTTTCTTGAGCAAAGGATGTAAAAGAATAAATTTAAAATCTTAGCTTTTGATTGGCTGATGAAAGTTGACGTTTTTCATCTATATTCTCAAATTGAAAATTTATATTTTGGAAAATCCATGGCTTGATATGATTAGTGGACCAGTCAACAGTATGGTAGGTACTGGAATGAGTGTGTACATAACGTATTGAGTCAATTCTCTGCATGGATGTTGTGGTGTGAGTTTAATATGCAAGTATTGTCCAAGTATAGTGTTTGTTTCTACTGCTTTACAGGGTGTTGGTGCCATTTTCGGTAATTTTACTTTTGGAATCATTTTTGCCAGTGGGTGAAATTTCTTTTTCAGGTTCTAACTTTCGACACTTTATCTTCATGTTTTACGGTGTAATGGTCTTTTTTTTATTATTCTGTATTAGATAAGGAGGTATTGTGTTCTAGTTGTGCCGCGAAGAGCTGATCATGATTCAATGGTTGAATTGCCCTACCAAGCTTTGCTTTGAGTGTCCCGATGCTGTGTTTTAGCGGCTGAGCGTCGGAAACAGAAGGAACAGAGTAAGGTAATGAAGCAGCAGGAGAAGGTTAGAAGACAGGAACAGATGAGGCAGGAGAGAGAGATGAGAGCCCAGCACATCCTAGAGGTAGGCGGCCATTTTGAATTTTCAAAGTGTCATGAAAATCCCTGGAAACATTTTCTCAAGGTTACTACTTGTGAAATGTATCTTAGGCTAGTGAAACTATTGACAGCCATTTCTAGTCATCCATATTGCTGTATTTTGTTTATGACAAAATATCAGAATTGAAAATTGATTCAGTATTTGCATATTTCAGTCTAGTTTAAACAGTACATGGTGTAGTTACATAGTATTCTAAAGCAGTTGGGATCATCCGATTCTTTCATATTACTCAAGTTAATCTGTGATGGCATGAGATTATCTAGTGTAATATGAAAGAATTGTGTGGTCCTTAACTTCTTTGAGTAGTATAGAATTATGATTTGTTACATTGGTGTGACCAATTAAGTTTCTTGTTTTACAAACAAGCTTACCCTTATGTTTTGCAAAGTTTCAAAAGAAATAAGATTGAGTGCTATGTTTGATTTTACATGTTATCATTTCCTTTGGATTTGAACTGTTTTGCAATCTTATTAAAATCAGATCTTCGTTCTGGCTGCTGCTGAACAAAGATCTGAGGACATCTTACCGAATTGGGAAAATGACAGTATGAATCCCGAAATGGTTAATACGGGGTATTCTAATCAGGCTGTATGCCCGATTCCATCAGAATCGTCTGTTTCTCTCATCAATGGGATAAATGTTTGAAATGAAAGAGACTTTCCAGGGCCCGTTGAAAATACTGCCAATCAATCTCGGCCAGCTATTTGACATTCCAGAATTTTCGTTTGTTCAGTTTTCACATTTTGAATCAGTGCTTTTCGTAGTCTGGAATGGATATTAAAACTAGTGCCGTAAAGGTCAAGAAAGCTGCAATCTGATTGGCTAATGTTGACTTCTTCAAAGTCATTTCATTGGTCAATCAAAGTTTGTGACAGGTCTTACACCCGTAATGGGATGTCCTCAGATCTTTGTTTAGTGGTAGCAAGAACTACGATTTGATTTTAGTGTGATGGAACTGTATCGCAAGATTTGTGTTTTGGAAACACCCTCTGTCAAAATTGTTTTACATTATTTTCTCACTGCCTGCTGGCATGGTGGCCAAGCTATACTGTAAAAGAAGTAAACAAATTGGTGTGGCCTTTGTTCAGAATTATACAAGTTTGGATTAGAGACAGTTCTGTGGAATATGAATTGCCATGATGCTATATTGCGGCTTGAAGGTTTCTTTATAATGTTGGATTGTGTGTTTCTGTGTCTGCCTTTAACTGCAAATGAGAGCAGCTTTTCAAGGATTTGTATCACTGTTAGGACAATATTACAGACCTTTGGTATTGATTTTAACAGCTTTTTGTCAGATTTTATGCAGCAAAACTTCCAAGGCATGAACTTTAGTTCAGTCTTTGAACACTGGAAAGTCACTATATCTAAAAGAGGAAATACTGGCGAGAAGTAAATGGCCAATTGTATGAAATACATTCAAAAGTTTGTCTTTTTTTGGCTGAAGCAAAAAAATATGATGATTTTGCTATAAAAATAGTATTGTTCATTGCAGTCCAACATACTCTGGTTTCATATGGAGAGAGTAAGTTGATTGACAGTGATTGACAGCTTGTCTTGTCAGGCCAGCCAATGAAATTTTACGTTTGTCAGGCATCTGTGAATAGTCTATAAAATGTTTATCAAACTTCAATGCAAACTATCATATGTATTTATTATGAAACTTTGCTATCTTTTCAAATTTATGACATCAATATTGGCAAAAGTAATGTAGAAACATATTCTTTACATTATTGACAATGTTTAACTTTTCTTTGTTATCCTACTTTCGAAATACAGCTTTTACTTAAATATGTTTGATTAATGAAATAACATACTTTCTGGGCTTGATCAAATTTCGAAGAGAATTTCTTTTTGGATTTGACAACTAGAAGCATCATACCAATTAAAAATTAGTAGGTATTAAAAAAAATAGGAAGACACTCAATATTTCATTTGCTGGCCTCTGATTGGTTGTTGTCCCTTGATTGACAGCTGTCAATCTATTGTACAGCTATATCACCTATTGTAGGCTTGCCGTATTCCTCAGCTATATGTATCTGCTTTTTACTTAAACTATTTTATCATTAACTTTGTTTACAAACATATTAGATAATAATATTCATAGCCTCATCTATTGACATAAACACTTGGTTCGATTAGCATCCTGCAATAGGATTAACATATTTGATTAATATCATTCAGAATATAGGAGTTAGTAAGAAATTGGATATAACTTTCGTATGCAAAGCATGTGAACTGCATGTTCATATTGACAATGTTTCGAGAAGGGATAAAATAAGGATGTACGGTCATGCATGAGTATAGTGTTAAAGTTGGGTTAATTTGATGCTCACACGTAGCATAGAATGGTAATATCGGACCATTGCATGTGCATGGTAGGATAGTCTGACTAAAAAATTTATATCACATGAAATTAACCTGTTTGTTATCAACAATTTAAGAAAGTTGACATATTGGTTGATAAGTTGATAATGTGTCAAACAAGTATAATATATACTATCCAGAAGAGGTTTTGGGCCTTTCAATTCTTTCATATTACTACAGTTAACATATTAACTATAACATATTAACTATAGTAATATAAGAATCGTGTGTGCTTAATTGATTTTGAGTACTTACATGGGTACCACTTGTTACATGGTGGGTACTATTCAGATTAAACGTATGTGCATATTGAATAATCAACTAAACACATGAAGTAGAAAAACTGAAGAAATATGTTCCTGTTCTGAAGTCTGAAAGGAATAACCTTCACATTTTGTGACCTCAGTGAGCAACTTTACTTCGATACAAATAAACTATTATTCTTGTATTGTTAACATGTATATCAAATGCTGATGTCATTACTAAAATGTTTTTAATAAAGTATTGACTTCATGGCATGGTGACAAATTGCTGCCATTAGAATGCATTTGTTGCCAGAAACTTTGTGTATTTCTGTATGTATGTTTTGTCGATATCTTTTTTCTTTCCCAAAGAAACAACGTAAACATTAGGATTTAGGAGTTAAAAGTTGATTCACATTATGACATTAATGACAAACTAATATGTCTCAGTAGTGGTATGGATTATAGTAAACTCGTTAATGTCTTATGGCGCCAGAAAGAGTTATCTCCCTTTGTTAAAGGTAATTTCCATGTTAAGGGGTAAATATTGATCCACAGTATCAATAATGACAAGCTAAGTATGTCTTCATAGTATGGATTAAGGGCAAACTTGGAAATATGTCATCTAGCAGAAAGAATAACCTCCCTTTGTTCAAGAGTTATCTCCCTTTGTAAAAGGTAAACGCCAGCTTTCCCTTATGTATATTAGCAAAGTATATTTTGACTGAACAGTTATGCTTGTAGGTATTTAGTTGTAATTCTGCTTTGACCAGTGATTTCTAAAGTGTGTCTTGGGCTCTAAGCTTTGTGACTTACCCTGCTTATCTGTCTTGTGTTCTTGTCAAGCTGCTCTCATTGGTCAGTATCTGCTGCATGTGACATTTGATTGGTTAGTTTAAGTTGAGATCTTGGTAAGGCCACTATCAATTATAGGAATAACTGTCTAAATTCTAATTTTGTTTTTTGGCATGGTCATTGTTGTGTATTAGTTACATGAATCTGCCAAAGAATAATTAATAAAAAATGTGTTTATTTTGAACCAATCTTCAACAAAGTTCAAATGTTCATTTTTAAAGATCACTGCAACAGTAGCTAGGGACTAAACTATTACGTTGCCTCAATCTGTGTTGATTTTTGGAAGCATGGATGCTGATGGTGATGTAAAGAGAAATATGCCATCAGCATGTTCAACATATATGTCTAGTAGATGTGGTATACTTGATGTTGATGATGATGATGATGATGATGATGATGGTTCAAGGAGAGAGAGATGAAGAGACAACAAGCCGTCATGATGAGGGAGCAGGTAATGAAGAATCTCAGCATCGTACGTTCACCTCCTCACATCACACGCAATCTCGGTCTTTCTGCGCTTATCAACCCTTCATTTATTCATTGTTTATGATCAGCTGTCTTGTATGCCATACTGATATGTGTGAAGTCATCTGTTAGCAATGTTGTGTGAAAAAGGATTTAAAATGCACTTCTAAGATGATAAATATCTTCTTTTTTTTCAAAAACTTTATGTCTATCTTGACGTTAATCTACTTCCAAATACTTATCTTTAGCTCATTGAACGTAAACTTAATGAATCCATGAGAAAATATCCATGAATGAATTTATTGAAGATTGAGAAGGCCCAGATGAAACCACTTCCTATTTTAAACAAGTCGTTTATGATTTTTAGCTCCAGTATAAGGGGATCGTAACTCCCATACTTTAACATATACTTGCGACTGTCATGGCACTAAGACACTTTGCGGAGCTGGGCCTAGTGGTATTTTAACATGTTGGACAGCTGACTTGAATGATGAACGAAGGCAGGGATGTGTTAACTGCAGTTAATATTGACCCTTTATCAGTACATGATTCCAAGTAGCAGGTCACTTGGTGCACCCAGCACCTTGTGACCATTTGTTGAAATGAGCGCCATCCTTTCGAATCCTCAAGAAATTATTCCTTTTGAAAATTGTGAAGGGCACAAAAATCTATTACTGGAATCATCTGCTGAAATGTTTTTCTTGTGCACTTTTCTTTTGATAATTTGAATTTATGCATTATTTGAAAAATGATGTTCAAATGACTTATTTAGTAGATATTGTATTTTTCACTAACACTCTCTAATGTGCCTCGTATGCTTTTGTATGTATCATAGGTAAGGTATTATATGCTATTTATACTAAACAAGAACAGTAAGGGATCATGAATATTTTTTTATTTTTTTTAGGACTTGTGTGCTCAGTCTTCACTACAAAAAAATATCCCCAAAATATTCATGATCACTCACTTATTTTGTTCCATATGTAACTAGGGGGGACACGGGTGGCCCAGTCTTCTAAGGTGCCGTGATTCGCTGTACAGAGTTGCATCCCTTGGGCACCCCATGATTGTGGGTTCGAATCCTGGTTCGCCCCAATTATGTTGTCAGCACCATACCCGTGCTCGTGGGTTTCACCAAAGTGGTAAACGTCTGAGACCTGCATCACTTCGGGCTTTCCTCCAACATTGAGCTGACACGCCGTGATATAACTGGAATAATGTTAAAAGCGGCGTTAAACCAAACTCACTCACTCACCCACTCACTTATGTAACTAGAGCGGAGGTAGTCTAGTGGTCTAAAGCATATTCATTAGACATGACTTACTTTGATGGGTTCGAGTCCAAGATGTCTCCTGATTATGACCTCTGATTTACCAGCACCCTACCCCTACTTTCACCCAAAGCGGTAAATGTCTAAGAATTGCGGGGCACTGGGGTAGCCAAGTGGTTAAAGCATTCACTCATCATGCTGAAGGCCCCTGTCTGATTCCCCACCCGGGTACAATGTGTGAATCCCAGTTATGGTGTCCCCCGCCATGATATTGCTGGAATATTGCTAACTGCTGCGGAAAAGACATACTCACTCTCTCTGAAAAATGATCCAGTCAGTCTTTCCAAATACAGCATGCTAACAGGCTGTGTGATATAACTGAAATAGTGTTCCTAACAGCACTTAACACAACTCACTCACTCACTCACTCACTCACTCTATCCATTGAGTATATTTTTCTTCAGTTTATCAATTTGCAAAATAACTGTTGAGATAACTGTAAAGAGATCAGAAGATTTTACAAGCTTGAAAGCTTTCTTCTTCTTCATCATCCTCAGATATTTGTTCCTTCTAGAATGCCTTTTAATTGTATGTGTATTATATGATGACTTGCAGGAACGTGAAAGACGGCGCCAGCACTTACTGCTTGTGAAGGCTCTTGAGGCTCGAAAGAAGCAAGAGGTGAGATTATGAACAAGAGTACATACAGAATAACAACAAATATGTTTTGAGAAAAAATATTTCAAATTAATTTTACAAATGAGTAGCTGAAATAAGGAAGTGGTAATAAACATAAAATATATCATCATTATCACAGAAAAATAAAGGTAAGTGTTGTGATTTTTTTTATGCTTATGCATCAGTGGATTTACCGTATTCGACGTAATAAGCGCCCAGGGCGCTCTCAAAATTAGAAATAGGGGGTTCTTATTAGAATATTATTTTGGTGAAAAAAACAGAGTTGAAAGATAAATATCGTGGTTTATGCTGACAGCGTGAAATGTCTATTTTTCCAGGATTTAATTGCCAATAATAAAGGGTGCATATAACACATGAGTGCATATTATACGCGAATAGGGGAAGGAAGCGATGCGTATTATATGCGAATAGGGGTCGGAAGGCGTGCTAATTGGGATTGTTCACCAGCCAATATATTAGCAAATCTCGACGTGGGCGCTTATTAGAGCGGGGGGGGCAGTCGGGTAGCCTAGTGGTTAAAGCGTTCGCTCGTCACCCGGAAGACCCGGGTTCGATTCCCGACATGGGTACAATGTGTGAAGCCCATTTCTGGTGTCCCCCGTCGTGATATTGCTGGAATATTGCTAAAAGCGGCGTAAAACCATACTCACTCACTCACTATTAGAGCGGGGAGCTTAGTACGTCGAATACGGTAACTACCGATAATTTCCGTTCCGTTGTTACATTGGTCATCTTCTGTTGTCTGGCCACACACTAGGCTGGGGAAAAGGGGGTAACATTTAGTTCTCGTGTATAATACACGCCCCTAATTTGGGAATCTACAAACTGTGAAAAAAGTGTGTATTATACACAAATAAATATGGTATGCAAAAAATAGAATCCAGTTTTCAATAGGGTCAAGAATATCAGTCATATTATTTCAGTAATCCTCACTGAGCATTATGATTTTTGCTTCTGTTATTGCTGGAATAAAGCAACATTGAACCATACTCACTCACTCACTCACTCACTCTCTCTCTCTCTCTCTCTCTCTCTCTCTCTCTCTCTCTCTCTCTCTCTCTTTAGGACGTAAATAATCTCCATTTGATATGTATGCCAAGTTTTGATGATGCTTTTTGTTTTTCTAGGAGAAGGAGCGAGTGAAAGTAGAACGCTTACAAGAGAAACGGATATTCAGAGAAAGAAAACTGGTGAGGTTAATCAAGATTATTATTATGAAGCTTTGATGAACACATAAGAGTTAATGTGTGTATGATGATTTCAGCCAAAGTGAATCTGTCGAAGCTAATGTGTGTATTACAATTTCAAAGGAAGTCAAGATATCGAAGCAAATGTGTGTATATTAAAATTTGAGCGATAGGGAGTATATCTCGGATCTAGTTTGTGTATTAAGATTTCAGTGATAGTGAATTCATGTATATCGGAGCTGATGTGTTTATTGCGATTTCATCAATAAAGAATATATCGGAGCTTGTGTGTGTATTACGTTATCAGCAATAGGGAATATATCGGAGCTAGTCTGTGTGTTACGATTTCAGTGATGGTGAATATTTCGGAGCTAATGTGTGTATTACGATTTCAGCAATAGGGAATATATCGGAGCTAGTGTGTGTATTACGATTTCAGTGATGGTGAATATATCGGAGCCAGTGAGTGTATTACGATTTCAGCAATAGTGAAAATATCGGAGCTAGTGTGTGTATTACGATTTCAGCAATAGTGAATATTTCGAAGCAGATGTGTGTATCACGTTATCACCAATAAGGAATATATCGGAGCCAATGTGTGTATCACGTTATCACCAATAAGGAATATATCAGAGCCAATGTGTGTATCATGTTATCACCAATAGGGAATATATCGGAGCCAATGTGTGTATTTGGTGTTGCAGGAGCAGCGTCGGATGGAGCTAGAGATGGCGAGAGAGATGAAGCGACCTTGCGAGGACATGGAGCTTCGTGACAACCGGGTCAGACATCATTCTTGTTGATTTCACTGGTTCATTAAGTGATGATTTGGTGGTCACTGTGGCTGTTTTTGAGACTCACAATGGGGATTTTTACTCATACTATCAAACATTGGTTTGCCTGACCCAGACTTGATTATTCACAGCCTCTCATGATTTGTTTGAATATTGCCAACTGCCCTACTGCCATATGTTATTTTAACTCAGTCACTCCTATCGGTCTGTAAGATCAGAACTTGTGAACCAGCGATTGAAAACGGATTTCTGGATAAAATAATTATTCTCTTCGTTTATTAAAATCAATGAAAAACTGAAAGATTTTATGTTGAAATCTGTTGACGTTGAGCCAAATGTTTGATGGTTGATTTTGTGTTGATTATGATGTACAAGTTTTTAGAGTATTTTCTAATTTCATGATCAATTTATTTTCAAAGGAGTTCCAGGAATTTCCCAGAATCCCCGGTGTGCGTCTGGCAGGAGCTCCCTTTGCAGATTGTCTGATGGCGATAGAGTTTATGCATAACTTCGGGGACGCTCTTGGACTTGGTGAGTGTGAGACCTTAGATAGAGAGCATGGGATAAAATAGTCTCTTGACAGACTTGTTTGCAAATTCGGGGCAGCTTCCACACTGATAGAATGGTTCCTTTCAAACCTACATTGCATGTCTATCTGACTTTGATTTGAGATTTTTATCTGTGTTTTATGTTAGAAAGTATGCTTTCTTGATCGTCATTAGACATCATTTTAGTGAAGGCTCGATCATATGTCTGCTCTTGGGGATTATTGCACTGCATAAGACTGATGGGTCATGCTCGGTGACTTGGTTGATGCATGTCATTGTACCCCAAGGTCATGGATTGTTGATCACAATATCGATCACTAGATTGTCTGGCCCAGACTTATTTACAGGCTGCTGGAGTATTGCTGAGTCCCTAGGCCTTCCAATTAAGGTTTCAAAGTGTTTCTGTTTTCACCTTGTTTCAGACAAGGACTCCATCCCCACGATGAAGATCCTCCAGAATGCACTGTTGAATGATAACGATGAAGACATGGAGGAGTTTCTGTGCCTCATGTCACATCTCGTTCGATTTGGACTGGATGACCCTGGTGTTCCGAACCCTAAAGAGGTCAGTGACCTGGTGTCAGATTGTTTACAATGTTTGTATATGTGTTCCAGTTTTCTTAAGTAGCTGCAGTTCACTTTGCAGAGTAGCTCCCCTTAGCCCTGCCAGGATCTGCTGGCCGTGGGTTTGAATATGTCTGGATGAAATAGATATACTGTTCAAAGTGGTGCTAAGCCTAGGTCAATAACTCACTCATGGAAAGATGCGGTGTGAAAACCTAGTGGTTACAGGGATTTATCCTTACCTGCTCAGATGCCGATATTCGGCCTCAAGTCTGCAGCAAATGACAGTAAAAATTCTCAATTTGAATTAGAAATTTTCCAATTCCTCGGAATTTACAAAAATAAAATCATAACAATGATGCAATTCTAAAAAAATGATAAAAAAATTCCAATTTGAAAACAACAATTTGCATGCCAAAGACACTTGGTTTGGAGTCCCAGATAAATCTCTGGTTAAAGCATTTGCTCAACAGGCAGAAGGCACGGGTTCGATTCCCCTCAAGGATGCAATGTTTGAAGCCCATTTATGGTGTCCCCTGTCATGATGTACGTTGCAAGAAATAATGTAAAACCCTTTTCACCCCTCACTTCGGGAGATTAAGGCAGATGTAAGTCCAAAAGGATAATAGACGGAAATCCCTGAACATGGTTATTTGATATTGGATATTTGTGTCTAGAAAGGATTTATTGATGCCTTTAAGTGACACTGTTACTTTTCATCATCCCAGGCTGTGACGAAGCTTAACCAGAAGATTACTGACATCGAGCTCACAGACTCCACCCTCTCCGAGATCCTCCGAATATTCATCATTGCCCGCAATGGCAAGAAGACTGAGGTAGGTGAAGACTCCCTTGAGAAAGTGACAAGGAGCTAATACTCCAAGCACTGAAGCCCATTTCTAATCAAGGTCCAGACGTTACCCAGGGCCAACCAAGTCATATCTACTACGCAAAAAAGTTCAAGAACACATTCTTTTATATTACTATGGTTAGTCTGTCATGCCAGACCGCCTCCGTGGTCTAGTGGTAGAGTGTCTGCCCGCAGAGCGGAAGGTCTGGGTTTGATCCCCGGATGCGTCATACCAAAAGATGTTAAAAGATGGTACTTGTTGTTACCCTGTCTGGCACTCGGCATTAAGGGACTAAAACAAGGACTGGTCGGCTTGGAGTCAGTATACTGTGTCTGAGTGGGGTATTCATGTTGAACTGCGGCATGGTATCTCAGTGAGCTAGCACTATAAATCGGCATCAATCCGGACTAGTACACGCAGCCACACAAACACACACGTACATGCACGTCGCTATGTTAGTGCAATGATCTTGGACGCGATGTTAAACCCCATTTCACCTCACCTCACCTAACCTCACCTCACCTCACCTCACCTGTCATGCCACCCACATGACTACCCAGACGCGTGGTTAGTCACATGATATATTGTATCATGAAAATAGCACAACAACTCCATTGTTACACTACAATTTGCTTATGTTTATACTTCTTTCTTACTATAAACACATTCCTTCCAACTCATATGTTTGCATAAAGATAGAGCTTCAGTTAACTTCATTGTATTCATGGTCAATTCGGTTTTTACGTGTATCTAAATAGTTTTTACCAGGGCTCTGTAAAAGAATTCCCAAATGGACATTTTTTACCCAACTTGAGACCTACAGTGGATACCTGTGTAGGGTTGGGCACCTGGGTAGTGAATTTGGCCTCGACCCAGCCCTAGTATGCAGCCTCCTATATAAGCAATATTTGTGAAGAGTTATTTGTTTCTTCAGATGAGCGACTGGCTAGAATTACATCCCCTGGAAGCCCTCAATCCCACCAAGAAGGCAGCCATCTTGGCCTTTATATGCAATGAGTTGCTAGGCAGCCGAGTCATCTCGGGCGAGGTGGACAAGAACATAGAGACAATCAACACACTCCGCAGGGACAAGTGGCTGGTGGAGGGAAAGCTCAGGCAGTAGGTGTTCCTTGACTTATTCCCTAAGTTCGCATTTTTTTTATGGATGTATACAAAAAAAGGAACAATATTTCGCCTTTTTTTCTTCAGTCCTTGTCAAGTACAAGTCCTTTAAGTTACTGCAAATTATCTCCCTTTTATTTATTATCTCCCTTTGTGGACTTTTAATCTTCACAAAGTGCTGTAATAATATTTACCTTCTTTTTATTTTTACCCCTGGGAAATTCTGCAAACATGCATTGATGCCTATTAATTGTATAAAATATTACTATTCATCAAGGGATTTTTTTTCCTGCTTATTTCAGGAATTTTATCAAAGGGATTTTGTAGGTAATGTTTTAAAAAGAAAGAAGTAAGCTTAAAATGTAATGAAGCACAAAGATTTATAGATTTATAGATTTTGTCATTTTGACTGCATGTCAAGTGGGAGGGAAACAACTGATATTAAGAGATGTTTCTTGATATTTATTGATATCAATTGCTTCAGATTGAGGATGATTCAAGCCAAGAAGTGTCGGAAGGCAGGGAAGCCCCTGGACACGTCCGCCAACCAGCCTAATGTGGAGGAGGACAGCACAAACATGTCTGCCAGTAAACAAGGGAGTGATGACGAGGACGACAAGGATGAGGATGACGATAAGGACGATGAGGACAAGGATGACGACAGTGGTAATGACAGTGATGCCACCAATACTACCAACGCCACAGGTGCTGTGTCTGAGGAGGTGAGAATACACTTGTACACTAAAGTACAACTGAGGCTTTCACTCTTTGTTAGACCTGTGAAGATCCGGGATAGAATAGGTCTTCAGCAACCCATGCTTGTCGTAAGAGGCGACTAACTGGATTGGGTGGTCATTGTATCCCAGTTGAATGGATTGATGCTCATGATGTCAGTCACTGGATTGTCTGGTCCAGACTTGATTATTTACAGACTGCCGCCATATAGCTTGAATATTGCTGAGTGCGGCATTAAACAACAAACAAAGGAAACGCTTCGTTAACACAGGGTGTGTATCAAGTTTTTCTGTTGTTTATGTAGATAGGGAACATAATTGCCTGATTTTGTTGAGCTACAAAACCACGCAGCCTGTACTTCCTTCTTGTGATTGCTGACTGAAGCATTATGTACCTTCAGACGTTTCGCATGACCAATTAACTGTGAAGAAATCAGGTTTTCTTTACCAACTTTTGAGTGGTATTCAATTGAAGAGTCCTACTTGTGTTACTGTACTGAATTTTCAATTTCAGGAAGAAGATGGGATCACAATTGAAGAATGTGAAAAGAAGATTGAAAAGTTGACCAAGGTAACTATGGATGAGATATAACATACAGAAATAAATGACCAAAATTGTCATGATTCTCAATGCTGATTGAGGGGCGGTCGGGTAGCCTAGTGGTTAAAGCGTTCGCTCATCATGCCGAAGACCCGGGTTTGATTCCCGACATGGGTACAGTGTGTGAAGCCCATTTCTGGTGTCCCCCGCCGTGATATTGCTGGAATTTTGCTAAAAGCGGCGTAAAACTATACTCACTCACTCACTCAATGCTGATTGGTCAGTTGAGGTGATATGATGAACATTGCTATATGATGTCATCCATTGTTCAGGATGTCGTACGTTGATGACATTATTTCATCTGAATATTCACTTACCCGACAGACCCGTGGAGATCTGGGGTAGAATAGGTCTTCAGCAACCCATGCTCGCCGTGAAAGGTGACCATGCTTGTCGTAAGAGGCAACTAACGGGATTGGGTGGTCAGGCTCGCTGACTTGGTTGATGCATGTCATCGTATCCCAGTTGCCTGGATCGATGCTCATGATGTCAGTCACTGGATTGTGTGGTCCAGACTGGATTATGTACAGACCGCCGTCATATGGCTGTAATATTGCTGAGTGCAGCCTTAAACAACTAACCAACCAACCTACCAACACCTTTTCCTACTTATGAAAAATAACAAATGCAAAAGTTGCTTTGATCTTTGGTAATCTTATCAGGGTGGCACAAAACTTTTCAGATTTACAGTTTACATTTTCTACTCAATCATTTAATTACACATTTGTCCCTTATGAATGAACTGCCTCCCTGATCTAGTGGTCTGCCCGGAGAGCGGGAGGTCCGGGGTTCGATCCACGGCCTCATCATACCACAAGACGTTAAAAGATGGTAATTGTTGTTACCCTGTTGGCATTAAGGGGCTTTAACATGGACTGGTCGGCTCGGAGTCCGTATGCTGTGTCTGAGTGGGGTATTATTGTTAAACTGTAGCAAGGTATCTCAGTTGGCTAGCACTATAAAATGGGCATTAGTCCAGACTTGTACAAGCAGCCACACACTACACAAGTGTGCAATTATTTTGGACGCGTTGTTAAACCCCATGTCACCTCACCCCATGAATGAATGGTTATTCTCTAAATATGTCTGATTTCCAGCAACATGGACTGTACAGGAACAAGGTTTTTGATGCCTCTCACAAACTGCGTGGCTTGACACTCGGCCAGGACAGGTACAAGCGCCGATTCTGGATATTGCCTTATGCTGGTGGCCTGTATCTTGAAGGTCTGGAGTCTTCGAAGGAGATTTATGATGATAACCCGGAGTTAGTCGGACCAAAGAAGAAGACAGTGAAATTAGAAGCAGATGTTAAAAAGGAAGCAGACGTTAAAAAAGAGGCAGATGTGAAAGAGGAAAAGATGGAGACAGATGAAGTAAAGGAAAAACAAGTGAAGGATGAAAAGGAGGAAGTGGTGAATGAGAAAGATGGGGGCCTTGTGATTGAGAAGGATGAAAAAGTTGTAAATGGTGAATGTGATTCAATGAAATTAGATTCGGAGAAGGACTCGGTGAAATCTGAAAGTGTTATAATGGAGGAGTTGTCAAAGGTTGTGAAGGAAAATGGAGAAAATGAAGAAAAAAAAGAAAAGAGTAATTGTAAAATTGATACCAATTTATTCCTCCAAAAGGCGGACATTACAAAACTTAGTGACATCTTGAAAATACCAAAAAGAGACTCTTTGAAAAACTCTCCAAAGGAGGTTGTGAATAATGTTCACACAGCTCTGACGATACCGTCGCCAATATCTTCGCATTCCACATCACTGGTCAGTAGTACACCAATTACCTCCCCTTGTCCATCGTCCCCCTCTCATAAAACCGAGACCAAGCATAATTTCACAAGCATCGATTCGTTGCTCAAGAAAGAGACAGACAGTACTACAAATAATACATCTAATAATCATTTTCTCCCTCCAAATATTTTCCCCCCATCACCTCTAATCAAGGATCATCACATGAACAGTTATACAGACATCCTTGAACAAAAGCCATGGTTCAGTATATTACCCAGAATGCCTTGCGATGAGCAGTCATTAACGCGCACACCCCACTCCAACAATTCACCATCAATTGTGTCAAACACATCCTTATCATTTTTCCCTCTTCTGCCATTCCCGCCATCAAGCCCAGGGTTTGGTTCATTCCAAATGGGTCAGTTACAGAATAGTACATTGGACTCCAGTTTATTGTCAAATTCAGACACATCTTTGGCAAATTTGTCGTCAAGTTTGTCGTCCTTCAAAGTGCCGCCCCCACCTTGTGATACTCCAACCAGCTCCAGCTGTACTGGAAGTGTTACCATGGAGATGCTCAAACCTGTCAAGATCGAGCCGCTACCTATTCCTGATGGTAAGTAAGGCTGGAGATGTTATCGTTTCATGTTTGCTTATTTTTTGGTGCTTGGGGCACCAGTGGTCCAGTCGTTTAAGGAGCCGCAATTTGCTGTGCAGAGTTGCGTCCCTTGGACACACCAGAAACCTATTATCATTGGTTTGATTCCCTGTTCACCCTGATTATGTTCGTTGGGCTGTAAGCACCATATCCGTGGTGTGGTGCAAAGTGGTAAATGTCTGCATCACTTTGGGATTTCCCCCCACTTCAAGCTGACATGCCATGATATAACTGGAATACTATTCAAAGCGGCGTTAAACCTAACTCACTCACTCACCATTTTTTGGGTTGATCAGGGTCTGTGAGGTAGCCAAGTAGTCAAAATGTTTGATAGTCATGCCAAATACCTGGAGTATTTCCCCGACATGGGTACAATGTATAAAGTCCATTTTTAGTGTCCCTGCCGTGGTATTGTTAGAATTTTGCTAAACTCACTCACTCACTCAGCACATTGTTCAGTGTTTTGTTCAATTTTCTAAACAGGAATCAATTCTTTTGTAGATAATTTGTGGGAACTTTAAAATGATTCCATGGCAGAATAGATATCACAGCTGTGATTGAGAGGCAATTGATGAGGATTGGTTACTGTGTGTGATGAGGCTTCAAGTGATTGTAGAATTATGACTATTGTTGTCCATGATAAACCATGGGAGTTGAAGTTTTGTGCTGAAATAGATTTGGTCAAGTTGGAACCCACTGATGCAGATTGTTGGGATTGACAATGTGGTTTGCTGGGCCGGAGTAGATTCAATCGCAAATCCGATCTTAGTGTTCGCTGTTGCTACACGTAGATCTGAGGACATCCCATTACAGGTCACGTCAGAACGATCTTTGGTGAACTATAACTGACCAATGAAATAACTAACAAGAAGTCAACATTAGCCAAACAGAAAGCAGCTTTCTCTAGCTTAACAGCACTAGTTATGACGTCGTCTCTAGTGTGACGTCATTCCGACCTCACGTCACAATAAGATTCAAATGACTTCAACAATGCCATCCGGATGACGGAAACAAAACACTGTTCTCTCCTGACGTGATGACCCTAGGGCACATATGATTTTAATAATCCCCAATATGTTTGCCCTCGTTGGTAATAAGATAAGTTTCTCACACATTCACTCCAGCCCTGTGGTGATTATGGGCTGGAATAAGTCCCATCATCTTATGGGATGGATTGGTTGGTTGCGTGTCATCGTACATCGAAGGCATGGATTGTTGCTCTCACCGTTACTGGGCGGGATTATTTACAGCCTGCTGTCATATAGCTGGAATATTGCTGAGTGCGGGGTGAAACAACAAACAGTCTTTACTACCCCCAAAAATATCCATGATCCTTAATATTGCTTAGTGCTGTGTTGAACAAACTAACTGTGATGAAATTCAGGGATAATTAAATGTACAGTTTTGCTCAGCTTAGTGAGTGAGTGAGTGAGTGAGTGAGTGAGTGAGAGTGAGTTGGGTTTAACGCCGCTTTTAACAGTATTCCAGTTATATCACGGCATGTCAGCTTAATGTGGGAGGAAAGCCCGAAGTGATGCAGGTCTCAGACATTTACCATTTCAGTGAAACCCTCGAGCACGGGTATGGTGCTGACAAACCTAGAAACATAATCGGTGCGAACCGGGATTTGAACCCACAATCATAGGTTTCTGTTGTGCCCAAGGGACACAACTCTGCACAGACGCCTTAGACGACTGGGCCACTCGTGCCCCCTTCAGCTTACAGATAAATGTGAAGGAATCAGTTCTTCTTTCAGTAAATAGGTGTATGTGGTGGTTCATATTATCACTATAGGTACACACATCATTCATTTTTTGAGTCCAAATATATGGTCCCTATTCCATGATATTGCAGGGACGGTGGGGTAGCCTAGTGGTTAAAGCATTAGCTTGTCACACCGAAAACCCAGGTTTCAGTTTCAATTTCCCGACATGGGTACAATGTGTGAAGCCCATTTCTGGTGTCCCCCGCCGTGATATTGCTGGAATATTGCTAAAAGCGGCATAAGACTAAACTCACTCACTCGCTCACTCCATGATATTGCTGTAAGATGAAGATGGTGAAGATTAGGTCCTCAGTACCTTGAGAGATTTGATCATTTCTAACACCATTGTTTTTCTGGTCCAGTCTATTTTATAGGCAGCAATGATATTGCTTTAAGAAAGCTCAATGTGCTATCCAACCTGAGACAGTCCTCCTTTGTTCTAATCCTATGACTGTTTCTTCCTGTCAAGACTTTATTCCATGGAGAATGTGACAAAAATAAGCCTCCCTTTCTGGTGGTTGTACAGAAAATGATGTTGTGGTTGTACGTTGATGAGGTTGGTGGTGTTGCAGACAAGCAGCTAAACTGGTGGCGCCTCCTGGACGAGGAGCATGTGAAGGACATCCTCAAGTGCCTCCATTCACGCGGCATCCGGGAGAAGAATCTCATGAAGAACATACAGAAGTACCTGGAGTACGCCTGTTCCTGTTGTGGCAAGGGAAATGACAAAGGTATGGCACTTATGAAACAGACTACAACAGACATTACATACACCTCAGTACACACACACACACACACAAACACACAGACAAATAGGCACACACACACACAGACAGACAGACACATAGGCACACACACACATAGGCACACACACACAGAGACAGACACAGTCACACACACACACACACACACACACACACACACACACACACACACACACACACACACACACACACACACACACAGACACACACACACACACACACACACACACACACACACACACAGACAAATAGGCACACACACACAGACAGACAGACACATAGGCACACAGACACATAGGCACACACACACAGAGACAGACACAGTCACACACACACACACACACACACACACACACACACACACACACACACACACACACACACACACTTTGTATATATATATATATGCATATGCTTTGTTGTGCAGTGATGAAGTTTGAAGTAAAGAAGGAGTGCAATAGTCCGGGCAAGAGCAAAGCCCACAAAGAAGCAGAGGCAGCTCGGCTAAAGAAAATGGAGGTGCCACGGCCTGATGACCCTGACCACTGGCACCCAGATGCCAACCTGGAGGTGGAGATGGGCGCCCTGGAGGAGGTGGAAGCTCTGGAAGAGCGCATCTTCCAGGCCAGTCTGCAGGTCAAGGTCAGTGTCAGGAATGTGCGTACACCCACTAACTCAATATCTTCTGTTTACTCGTTGTTTGCTTTGAATTTGCTTGTCATGTGTAACCTGTGCTTGTCATAAGTGGCGGCTAAAATGTATCAGGTGTTTGGGCTTTGTGCTTGCTGCATGTGAACTGTGGAGATCCGGGTTAGAATAGGTCTTCAGCAACCCATACTTGCCTAAGAAGTGACTTTGCTCGTCGTTAGAGGCCACTAACAGGATCAAGTGGTCAGGCTCGCTGACTTAGTTGATTGCATGTCATCATATCCCAGTTTTGTTGATCGATGCTCATGATGTCAGTCACTGGATTGTCTGGTCCAGGCTCGATTACTTCCAGACCGCCGTCATATGGCTTGAATATTGCTGAGTGCGGCATTATACAACAAACAAACAAACCAGCAAAGCTGAGTGCATGTTGTCGTGCCCCGATGGCATTGATAGTTGCTCATGCTTTCACCCACTTGTTTGCTTGGTTCGCACTTGATTATTTACAGGTCGGTGTGATGTGGCTAGAATATTGCTGACTGCAGTGTTAAACAACACTCAATGGGGTGGTCAGACTCTGTGACTTGGTTGGTTGTATGTCATTGTTCCAAGTTTGGCTGGTTCAGCCTTCACTGTTTACTGGCCGCCCGGGGATACGGGTGGCCCAGTCATATAAGGCGCCGCGATTCGCTGTGCAGAGTTGCGTCCCTTGGACACGCCAGAAACCTATGATTGTGGGTTCCAATCCCGGTTTGCCCCGATTATGTTTCTAGGTTTGTCAGCACCATACCCATGCTCGTGGGTTTCACCGAAGTGGTAAACGTCTGAGACCTGCATCACTTCGGGCTTTCTTCCCACATTAATCTGACACGCCGTGATATAACTGGAATACTGTTAAAAGCGGCGTTAAACCCAACTCAAGCACTACCGGCTGCCCTCATATACCTCCACTGTTGTTTATTAATCGTTCATTTCTTTGAGCGACATATGACCACCTCTGTGGTGTTGTGGACAAAGTGTCTGCCCAGAGAGAGGAATGAAGGTGGTTCAGTCATTTGGACTGAACCAAAATGATCAAAAGACGTTAAAAGACGTTAGTTGTTGTTACCCTGCCTGGTAATGGTCGGCTTGGAGACAGTATACTGTATCTGAGTGGGGTATTCATGTAAAACTGCAGCATGGTATCTCAGTAGGCTAGCACTATAAAACTGGCATTAGTCTAGACTAATACAAACAGCAACACACATGAATACATATCACTAAATAAGTGCTTAATCTTGAACATGATGCTAAACCCCATTTACTTCACCTTGAGTCACATGACCTTGAGTCACATTAATTCCAAGGCAGTCAGGGGTCATTGTCCGATTGTGTTTCTAGGCTGGCCAGCACTATACCCATGCTTGTGGGTTTCACCAAAGTGGTAAATGTCCGAGACTTGCATCACTTCAAGCTTTGCCCCCACTTCAAGCTGACATGCCATGATATAACTGGAATACTGTTAAAAGTGGCGTTAAGCCCAACTCACTCACTCACTCCAAGGTAGTATGTGAGGTGTGTATACTTGTTGTAAAAGTCGACTAATATGATGATTGTCATAAGAGGCGACTGACGGGATCGGGTTGTCAAGCTGGTGACTTGGTTAATGCATGTCATTGTGGTTAATGCATGTCATTGTATCCCAATTGCATGGATCGATGCTCATCACATCAATCACTGGATTGTCTGGTTACTTTCAGATTACTGACAGAGCGGTGTCATATATCTTAAATGCTGCCGAGTGTGGCATTAAACAACTAACAAACAAACAAACAAACAAACAAACAAACAAACAAACAAACAAACAAATATTATGATCATGACATGGATTGTTGTTATGCAACATTCACTCGCAGACTTTCACTCACCCTCACTCACTCACTCACTCGACCGCCTCCGTGGTCTAATGGTAGAGCGTCCGCTTGGAGAGCAGAAGGTCCGGGGTTCGATTCCCAGCAACGTCATACCAAAAGACCTTAAAAGATGGTACTTGTTGTTACCCTGTCTGGCGCTCGGCATTAAGGGGCTAAAACAAGGACTGGTCAGCTCGGAGTCAGTATACTGTGTCTGAGTGGGGTATTCATGTTAAACTCCTGCATGGTATCTCAGTGAGCTAGCACTATAAATCGGCATCAGTCCCGACGAGTACAAGCAGCCACACACACATACACGTGCATGCACGTCGCTATATAAGTGCATTAATCTTGGACGCGACGTTGAACCCCATTTCACCTCACCTCACCTATTTGAAATTTGGCATAGGGCGTGTACAAGTACAAGTACAAGTACAGATGTTCTAAACTGTATAAGGAGATGGACCTCACCTCACTCACTCACACTCACACTCACCCACCCACCCACCCTCACCCTATTCTCTCCAACAATGTTCTATGAGAAGACTGTCCTGTGTGCTTCAGGGCTGGAAGCTGCCAGCGAAGGCAACCGAGGACCCTAACTTGGAGCTGGTGTGTCGCACTGTTACTGAGTTGAAGGAACACCAGCGCTACCCGCTCGATGTGGCCAGGGACAGGCTTCTGAAGCTGGAGACGAACGTGGAGAGACGCTACCTCAAACCCCCGCTCATCAAGAGGAACGTGAGGTGGGTCGGAACCACCAATAAGTACAGGTAGTTTTGACTGTTTATATCTGTGTGTCCAGTGTTGTCGTCATAAGGTAGGGAGCTTTCTTCTAGACATATCACACTCCTACATCCAGATATACTAACCATATCAGCTTACCAGGGATTTATCAAGGAACTCTCAAACAAATCTTCTTATTAATTTCCAGATTGAAAATGAAAACAATCCTAATGTTTTTGCTTTTTTAAGATGACATTTTGCATTATTACTAGTTGAATTTCTCTAAATTAAAGAAAATAAGGCCTATGAATAAGGCCCAGGTTTGGAAATTGTGATTTTTCCCTGATTTGCGTGTCAGGGGCACTTAGTTTGAAATCCTAGATAAATCTCTGACCAGATATTGGACTTAACATATGGCTTAAGAGGATGCAAGTTTAGGGTACTTTCAGAACCTGTATTGATACAATGGTTAAGATTTCCATTCCAGTTGTGATGAACTGTGGGAAACTTTCTGTGTATTTTTCAAATGTCCCCTGGACTTTCAGCTACTGAAGTTAGACTTTGTCAAAACTAGTAATTGTGAAATAATAATACTGACAAAATTACTTCTGTGTATTTACCCTTATAGACGTCCATTTCAGTGTTGTGTTGGTGTTGGTGTTGTTTTCTGTTAATGTGTAGACGTCGTGCGATGTGAAATATAAATATTCTAAGAAGAAAATTCACAGTCTCCACATTGTCTGTTTCACTTTGTTTCCTCCCCTTTTCGGGGAGGTCGGGTAGCCTAGTGGTTAAAGCGTTGGCTCGTCACGCCAAAGCCCCGGGTTCGATTCCCGACATGGGTACAATGTGTGAAGCCCATTTCTGGTGTCCCCCACCATGATATTGCTGGAATATTGCTAAAAGCGGCGTAAAACCATACTCACTCACTCACTCACTCCTCCCCTTTTCTTGTCTAGACCACAGAGACATTAATCAAATTGAGGAATATCATGAAACCTCATGTGATGTTTCCCTAAGGCCTGAGATTCCTATCAAACATTAGAATATCTCCTATAGATAAACAATCTGTAACCTCAGGCTGAAAAATTAAAAATAGTTTTCTGGTTGACTTCATCATTTAAACATATCTGCGCAAAAGATTTGATCTGTACCTTTCGATTATTGTTTTTGTTAAACTAACCCCAGGTGAGCAGTGTTACAAAAGTGAATATGCTGCTGGTTGAATTGAGAGCATATTTTGTTTGGGGGCCTTATAAACCCAGCAGTTCTGTGTGCATGTAGACATAGAGTTTCTCTATCAAGCTCCTCCCAGTGCTAGCCCGTTCGCGGAGCTCTCAGTACTATCGCTGCCACCAGTCAAAGCTCCCCACTGGGATAGGTGACTACAACAATGCTTGGAGTTGAACTACTAACCGACTGACCGTTATGTTTACAAACAAGTGATGATCGACTGCCGTGACGCCGTATACTCTTACCCCAGTTTAATTATGTTCCTTGTTTGTCAATTTGAATTTCTATTTCATTCAAACTATCATGTAATTGGTATAGTAAGAATGTAACGGGGAAGTTAAGAGATTTTTCTTTAGTCTGCAATCTCTGGGAAATATGGTCTGTCGTAAACCTTTTAAAAAATCACAATGATGGCATTCCCAAAAACATAAACAAAAATATAAACGTTACTACATTTGGGGTTAGAGGGCAATGAGTGTAATTAAGGCGTCACACGCTGGGAAGGAGCTTGTCTGTCCATCTCTGAATATGCTATTTTCTTTTCAGCAGCCTGCCACCTAATCTAGCCAACATGTCGAGTTCAAGTGAAGGACATGCAGGGGACCAGGAAGACGACGACCAGGAACCCACCAATGTGGAGGAGAACATTCCGCCAGGCCTGGTCTTGTGGCGGAAGGCGGTGGCTGCAACCACGTCGTGTGCACAGCTCATGTTGTGTCTACTACAGCTCAACAACTCCATATCTTGGGAGAAGTCCATTATGAAAGTGGTGGGTGGCCTTAATTGTTAGTTTATCTCACAGGCATCTGATGTCCTAAATAAAATAATTCTTGTGAATACCCTACCTCTATTACATCATAGCCATAAATTCCTGTTTATTCAGAGAACCATGCTAGAAATCTTTAATAAATTTTCAACAGACGTCCTCTTCACTGCAAACATATCTAATAGTTGTGAGGGAAACACTATCCCTCATGAAAGACGCAACTGCGCCTGCCCTAAATAAAATAATGATAGAAAGTGTAGGATCATTGCAATTAACATTGTGGAAAAAAAGACAGATAGGTGTGGTGTCTTTGAACTAGCAGTTAGAAAGACGAATTCTTACTGAGACTGTGACCACATTCTTGCTGACTGATGTGATTTTTTTCACTGTAGACCGCCTCCGTGGTCTAGTGTTAGAGCCTAAGGTCCAGGGTTCGATCCCCGGCCGTGTCATACCAAAAGACGTTAAAAGATGGTACTTGTTGTTACCCTGTCTGGCGCTCGGCATTAAGGTGCTAAAACAAGAACTGGTCCGCTCGGAGTCGGTATACTGTGTCTGAGTGGGGTATTCATGTTAAACTGCGGCATGGTATCTCAGTGTACTAGCACTATAAATCAGCATCAGTCTGGACTAGTACAAGCAGCCACACAAACACACACACGTGCATGCACGTCGCTATATGAGTGCAATAATCTTGGACGAGACGTTAAACCCAATTTCACCTCACCTTTTTCACTGTAATACGACAATACATGAGAGTGATGCACAACTTTTTGAGAGATGGCATTTCACGCCTGTTGTCTTTGAGAGAGGGGTCTTTAATAGTAAAAAGGGCATAAAATCTTGTACTGTTGAAATCATGAGAATCTGTTCATTTTGAAGTAGAATCACCAGATTGGAGTGATTTCTCCGACTTAAACCATGTTATGGTTGATGTATAGTTTCTCTATTAATTTGCAAAATGATAAATAATTACATCAGTTCAGGGTGGACGTTCAGAATGGCCAGTGAATTCACAATCAACAGTAGAGTGATGTGATCATAATGGTTTAAAGTAGGATACATCGACTGTTAAAAGCAATAATGAATTGGTTAGAATAGGTCTTCAGCAACCCATGCTTGGAAAGGGAGACTGCTTGACGTAAGAGGCGACTTAGGGGATTGAGTGGTCAGGCTCGCTGACTTGGTTGATGCATGTCAGCATATCCCAATTGTGTGGATCAATGCTCATGATATCAATCACTGGATTGTGTGGTCAAGACTTGATTATTTACAGACCGTTGTCATATAGCTGTCATATTACTGAGTGCAGCGGTAAACAACAAACAAACAAACAAACAGCTATGATTCAATGGCAGTTTGATACCTGATGTCAGGTGTGAATTGTGTTTGGAGAACTGAGTTAGGCATAACATCTCTGTTTGGTTTCAGTTTAAAGATTTTCGTCTCAATATCTTAAGTTGTTTTTGGTGTGGGATGTTTCAGAGAGTTTGAAAAATGAATTTGTACTTGGAAACAGGTGGTGAAAAGTGTTGATATTGTTTCAGATCTGCCAGATTTGCCGGAAGGATGACAATGAAGCCGAACTCCTACTGTGTGACGGGTGTGATAAGGGCTACCATACTTACTGCTTCAAGGTAATAGTGGGCCACTCTTTAGGGAATCGGGGCCAGTGGGTAAAGTCTTTGCTTGTTGTGCTGAAGACCTGGGTTTGATTCTGTACATGGGTTCAATGAAGCTCATTAGTTGCTGCAATATTGCTAACATTGGTGTCCAAACGAACTCATTGACATCCCCATTTGGCTCGCAGTAATCACACGAAAGAAGTGAAAAGTTCTTGAAGCTATGTACATGGTTAAGCTATGCACCCTGTGGGGGATCCGGGTTAGAATAGGTCCCCTACCTATGATTGTTGGAAGAGGCGACCAAATAGATTGGGTGGTCACTCAGTGAGTTGGTTGATTGTGTCCTCTTACCCAGATGGGTGCGGTTCGTTGCTCATAATATCAGTCACTGGATTGTCATCATACAGCTGGAATATTGCTCTTAACAAAAGTACAAAGAAAAAAAAAACACAGGGTAAAGCTGTGAGTTTTAGACGAGATATGCTAGGAGTCTCTAACTCCCACCTACGTAGTGGGTCTGTTAGGAATACAATCCAACTGGACCTGTGAGGATCTGGGGTAGAATAGGTCTTCAGCAACCCATGCTTGCCGTAAAAGGTGACTGATGGGATCGGGTGGCCAGGCTTGCTGACTTGGTTGATGCATGTCATCGTATTCCAATTGGGTGGATCGATGCTCATGATATCAATCACTGGATTGTGTGGTCCAGACTTGATTATTTACAGACTGCTGTCATATAGCTGTAATATTGCTGAGTGCAGCGTTAAACAGCAACCAAACAAACAACAATAGACTGGAGTAGAACCGGATGAAGCAGTCGTTAAGTGTTCATGTATAAGTCTAGATTCATGAGTCACATGGAAAGTGGGAAACACATTCAGAATATCATTAGTATTGCTTACATTGCAGTTTTCAGTTGAAACTAGTCTCTTGATGTATTTCTGATGTCAAGAAAACCTAAAACATTACCCATCTGTATATTATTTAAAAAAACAAAGTTACGAATTCAAGGACTTTTGTCAGATCCTAAACCTGGTGTTGTGCTTGGAGGTATTCATCGCATAATTTCTATCTGTGTTCCAGCCGAAGATGGAGAATATACCAGATGGAGACTGGTACTGTTATGAGTGTATTTCAAAGGTAAGTTACCATGGTAACCTCAGTGGTGGAACATTAGTGGAGTAGCCTTGTGGTTAAAGCATTTGCTTGTCACACCGAACGCCTGGGTTTGATCCCTTATATGACACAGTGTGAAGCCTGTTTCTGGTGTCCCCGGCTGTGATATTGCTGGAATATTGCTGAAAGTGGCGTAAAACCATACTTGCTCACTCATTCACTCACTCACTCACTCTGTGTTGAAAGTGGCTGAATGTTGTACTCTATGTCAAGTAAGACAAGGACCAACCAACTTTTTGTAAACATTTTTTTAAATGTATTTTTCTTGCACATTAATTTTGACCTTTTTCCATTTTTTGATTATTTTTGTGTGTTTTGCCTCATGCCTCCAATCAGATTGACAGAAATTAAAATAAGAAATTGATGTGCCTGATAGTATAGAAATGAACGACGTAAGTAACCATGGTGATCTGTCTGCAGGCTAGCGGCGCCCCTCACTGTATTGTGTGCGGCAAGAAGTTGGGGAAGATAGTGGAGTGTGATCACTGTCCCCGTGCCATACACATCGACTGCCTCGACCCACCTCTACCTCGGTACGTTGCCCTCATACTGTACATAGACAGTCTTCTTCTGTTGTCCAGAGTTGCAAAACCTGAAGATTTCGCCATAATTCTTAAAACTTTACCATGAATGCCATTCAAAGTGATTTGAAAATGCAAATAATACTTTTTGTCATTGTTCAAACATTAAAGGAATGTGAGATAGTCTGATAGCAGACTGATGTGACGTTATTTAAAGGAGATGTTATTCCAAATTATTCCAGTATTGCTTGTCATTAGGAGGGGCTACTAATTTTGAAGTGAATTTCTAATTTAATGTCATTTAAGGATTTAACTAATTGCATCAATCTAGTGTTGGCATCACTGATTATCTATTGCAGATGTTACTGAATTCGTGAATGTTTAGTCAGCCAGTTGCTGTTCTTTGTGCTTCATTTCTATCAAGAAGAAAACACTTAGCTTTTGGAAGTAAATTGTTTCTCTAGAAGGAACTTTATTCTCACAATAATTGCTTGTGGTGTCGCTGGATTGTCTGGTCCAGACTTGATCATTTACAGACCGCCGTCATATAGCTGGAATATTGCTGAGTGCGGCGGTAAACAACAAACAAACAAACAAAACTTATTAGATACATTTTATTAAGGGTGAGTTCAACATCATTAGACTTAAGTCTTTATCGTTATGATCATGTGACAATGTGGACATTTTGTTTCAGTATTCCCAAGAAATGGGCCTGTCCTGCTTGTATGGTTGGAAAGGTGGGTATTAATATAACGGTAACGCTATTTTTTAGGGCGTTATCATTTGCAGAAGCCCGAGGTTTTTCATTAACTGCCCGACGAAGGAGGGCAGTTGAAAAGACCGAGGGCTTCTGCAAATGATAATGCCCTGAAAAAGAGCGTTACCGTTATTATAGCTAAAATGGATGGAATTTGTTATCAAATAAAAAGAAACAACAATATCGGTTTTGAAACATTTACTGCAATCAACACGAATGTCACTGACCACATTTTACAAATATGGAAACGTCATAGAACAAACCAGATGACGTCACTATAATACGTGACGTCATTTTCTCAACCCTATGACGTCACCTAACAACGGGCGTGATAATGGCCCGTCGTCAAGTAATATGAGGGCATTATCAAGTTACTGTGGCCCGCTCATTTCTGATAACGTGCGGGCGGTTTAATGATAATTCTATCCATTTTAGCTATAATGAAGCTTCTTCAGATATATTATTGTCAATACTTCACACGTTTGCATACGTTCCTCCATCACTAGTGAATACATGGGACACTTGCTCTGTAGTTGCTATTTTTAGCCAGGGCCTGGTTCCTGAGAGAGGGGAAAAGGAGACTGCTTGTTCCAGTGAGTGCTCAGATTACATTGGCAGTGTTTGTGCCATAGCCTTGAGTCCTCCTCCACTCACGCTTGGGAAAGAAACAGTTCTTTTCACCCCTTTATTGTGCAATTAAGTGTATAATTTAAGAAACCAATTTTGGGTTGGTGTTGTAGCCTAGCGGTTAAAGCATTTGCTTGTCATGCCGACGAGGTTTGATCCCTAACATGGGTACAATGTGTGAAGCCCATTTCTGGTGTCCCCCGCCGTGATATTGTTGGAATATTCCTAAAAGCTATGTAACACCAAACTCACTCACTCACTCTACACATTGCTTCATATCATTTGTCTAGACCTGCTTAGACATATGTCAGTAAAATTCCCAAATTGGAATTAAAAAATTCCCAATTCGTTTAATATCTAATAAATACTTTTATGGCTTTGTAGAGGTAACCTAACAGACCTATGGAGAGAAAGAGGGTTTAATACTTAGTTTTATTGTATTAAAAGCAATCTGGAAGTACCACAAAATTTACGAAAATAAGAATTTTTACAAAATCAATATTTTCAACAAGATAACCATTTCTCTCCCCCCCCCCCCCCCCCCCCACTCCCTAATTTGCCTAAAAAGGGCACTTAGTTCAGAGTCCTTGATAAGTCCCTGTCTGTTGTTCTTGACAAGTTTGAAGGCAAGGTAAATTCAGTGTATTGTTTCAGGTGGTGATATGTTACTATTATTTGTTGTGACTAGGGTAACTGAATATTTCTATATATGTGGTGATGCCAACGGTATGTGTTTCATTTTAGAAACCCAAGCGAGTGAGAAAGAAGCGTCCAAGTGAAGGACGAGAGCGAAAGGATTCGGAAAGTAGCAAGACGGAACCTACAGAGAAGAAGAAAAAAGAGTCCAGCTCACCGACCAAGGATAAGGATCTAGTCATCTGCGGGTGAGCACTCGGCCATGTTCAGTTTTCTAGATTCTTCACATGTGGTGTAACAGCATATACAGTGTGGTATGAGCTGGAGAAGAGGGGCTTTAAGACAATTATCATTACAGCAAAAAAACCAGATGTAAATCAAATCTGTATCCAGCCATGTCATCAACTCATCAACTTGTGTCATTGTAGATATCTTGAACTGTTGACCACTCATGCAGGTGTGCGACAGGTGGGGTAGACTATTGTTTAAAGCACAGTAGACCCGGATTTGATTCCCGACATGGGTACAAAGTGTGAAGCCCATTTCTGGTGACACCGCCCTAATATTGCTGGAATATTGCTAAAAAGCGGCGTAAAACCTCGCTCGCTCACTCACTCACTCACTCCCACTCACTCACTCACTCACTCACTCACTCACTCACCCACCCACCCACCCACCCACCCACTCACTCTCACACTCACTCACTCACTCACTCACTCACTAAAGCACAGTAGACCCGGGTTTGATTCCCGACATGGGTACAAAGTGTGAAGCCCATTTCTGGTGACACCGCCCTAATATTGCTGGAATATTGCTAAAAGGGGGCGTAAAACCTCGCTAGCTCACTCACTCACTCTCACTCTCACTCTCACTCACTCACTCACTCACTCACCCACCCACCCACCCACCCACCCACTCACTCACTCACTCACTCACTCACTCACTCACTCACTCACTCACTCACTCACTCTTGTTTAGTACTGGCTGGCAATTCAAAGATTAGAAATGAGCACAGTTCATACATGATGTCATGTAATTACCCCAGTGTTTAGCTAGTACATCCTGAAGGTGTCATGTTGTTCCTTGTGTTTTCCAGGAAGCTCCTGGCAGAGATGGAGAAGCACAACTGTGGATGGCCTTTCCTCCAGCCTGTCAACGTCAAGAAGTTCCCATCCTATAAAAAATACATCAAACACCCCATGGACTTTGCCACCATGAGGACCAAACTCAGGGACAACCTGTAAGTCTGTGCATTGAACCATCTACTTTATACCACAGTTAACAGTAGTTTCGTATTTTTCTATCATGAGAGGTGAATTTTTTGTGAGAGGATTGTTTAATGTGGTGCAAGCCCCAGGCAAATCAACATGCAATGGTTGGCGCTGACCATCCAGCAAAGGGAGGCAACTCATGGTTGCATCTCATCTGTTGTGCCAGGATCTGCTGATCATGGTTTCAAACTGCTTGTTACCCTTGGTTTGTTGGAGCATACCTGGGCTTGTGGTTTTCACTAATGAGATAAGTAGCTATTCCAGTTATGTCCCTTCTATTGACCAATCAGATTCCACCTCTCATATCACTTGCATTTGCTTCAAATAAAATGGTGTTGCCCTGTGAAGACGATCTGATCGATAATCAAGATCTATATAGTAATAGAACAGGTCTTACTTTGCGAAGTGCATCAAATCATTTGGTTAAAAAGATGAAAAGATCAGGGAAATCCTGCAATCGACCGAAAGCTGCACAGCAGTTTACGAACCAGATGTTGATTTTGTTATGCGATTTTGATTGGACTATGCATAGACTTGTTATTCCAGCCAAAATAAAACCCCTTAATTCCAGCCTAGTTCAGCAAGGGTTGAAACTGGACTTTTATAGTCAGTTAACTCCCTTACCTCAGGAAGATGAGTATTGCATGTCATTTATTTTCCTATTCTAATAATGCTCATAATTTATCTTCCGGTTCCTCCAATGCCTTTCATTTATTTTCCAGTTACAAGTCACGCCACGAGTTCGCAGCTGATGGGCGAACTGTGTTTGACAATTGTGAAACTTATAATGAGGATGACTCCGAAGTTGGCCAAGCAGGACACACGATGAAGAAATTTTTAGAAAAACGCTTCAAGGAACTCTTCGGAGAAGACAGCTAGTCGTCATGGCAACTGGATTGACAGTTGCTGACACCTACCCAGTGTATTTCATTGGACCAACCACAAAAACAGCAGCCAGCCAATCAGATCCCAGTGTTCAGCAATAGGGAATACTCACTGGACCTTGTTGCCATGGTGACTGTTGTCGGGGAGATTCATTGCCATGGATACTCTCGTCACCATGCCATGATGTGTTCTTTGTTTTCAGGGATATGTTTACATGACTATATGTGCTCATTGTTTCGACACCAAGAACCCGAGGTGTCATTTGTTTCATTCACTATGTGACATGAGCAAAATGTTGAAACTCCACAAAGCAATGGTACCATAATCAATTTGAATTTCTATGTGTTTCATTGTTTCAAATATGGTGATTATTTATTTCAATAAAAATGCAATATTGTGCATAGTATTGATCGAATTGTGACACAACTTCACAGTTTTAGATGGGATTACGAGTACGGGGCTTGTACAAGTGCTTTACTTGTGGGGCAAGTTTAATGTTGGAATAAAGTATTCACCAAGAGTAGTTGTCCAATAACACTTATGTGCTCAATTAGAAATCCTTTTGTGCTATTTATGAAATTGGTATTGATGAGTTGTTTTAAGAAGGGAGTGCGAGCTTCAGATGGAAGTGACGAAACAGTACCTACGTAATCAAACATGCCTATTGGCTAGTCATCATCACCATATGGTCTTTTACAAATGCATTTATATAAAGTACTGCTGTATAGAACTCTCCTCTCTGCTGAAAGTGGAAAGGTAAGTTAGCTTCAGTTTCACATTTGTCTTGAGATGCTTGGCTCCGATCCTATTGTAGGATACATATACTACATGGAGGAATCAAGTTTTCTTTAAAATCACATGTATTATTCATTAAACAATGTTAAGCTTCAAGTTATAAATAAATTGTTTCAAGGTGTGTGACTGGTGCCATTGGGCCCGTTGCCACGGCATTATTGTTATGGTTTCCATAGCAACAATCTTTTTGGGAGCAATAGAGCTTTATACTAATATGTGCAGCTATTTTCCTGTGTAGATGAGAAATTACCACAAATTATTTTAGCTAAGATGAAAATACCAGATGCAAATGCATGTTCAGTGATCAGTGAAATACAGTGATTGTGTCCAAACTTGGTTTGTAGGTTCATCGAGGTAGGCAATGTCTTCATTTGGCCTTTTATAAAAAGTGCTTTTGGTGAACCTTAATGTTTGGGTAGTATTAAGTATGAATAATGTCATAATAAGTTGTATGTATATGAGAGGGTCAATAAAGCAATATTGATTGATAGCGCCACCAACTTGGCTCAAATATTGGCAAGTTGGATCAAAAGGAGACCAATACAGTGATCAAATAAATATTAAAGTGGACTCACAAATTACTGTTAATAACCCAATAATACTGAGTTTGTCGCCAGCAGAACGGGCCTGCAGTTGTTAATAATATGCCACCAAATAACCAATCTGTCAGCTTAATTGCCTTTACACATTGTCGGTCAGTAATTTCATCTAGTGTGTCATTGCTATCATATGATGTAAATACTGTTGTAATTATCAATACTTACAAAAGACTTTTTATATTGTTTATCTTTAAATCTTCATAGTATTTTTGTCTGCAATTACAAAAAAAATGTTACAATATTTTACAAGAATGTTTAGTGGTTTTTATAAGCTCGTAGCTCCACTTGTGTCATTGAAATGTTATTTCTTGTCAAAATGTTATTTATGTTTTGTTTGATATAAAATATTCATCACAGAACAGTCTTTAGTCTGGGCATTATTGTTTCCTAGCTGTAACGTAGAACATTTCAGTTGCTTCCGTAGATCCTTAATTCCCTGTAGGAATGATTCAGCGTGTTTGTCGAGGACAAAGTAAGTGTATAGATGTCTTTCAAACACTATTATTGTTGTGATTTATGAAAGTATTTTTAAATTTAGGCTGAAGTGAAAGTTTCATGCATTGTACAAGACATTTAAGTATTATATATTTATCTGAGTATTCAGGATGTATGTTTGTAACAATTTGATTTACGGAGCATACCTCAAAGTTTTCACACATATCAACCTAGTGTTGAAGCTGTGCCTTTTGCTAGATAGAGATTATTGTCATAATTTCTGTCATTTCCATAGACGTTCAGCAGACAGTGGGATTTGTTATTCAAGAGCTCTTGAATTTACCTCCACAAATCTTTGCAAACATATCAACCTGATGATGAAACGGTATCTGTAACTGATGAGGTAGTTTTGTAGTTTTTATGGAAACATGGACATAATTGAAGGTGAGCCTGTTTTGGGAATTTCTTCTTACAACTTTAGCGTTGCGCTTGGGCTTGTATGATCTTTTTATGACCATTGTTTTCGTGTGTCAGCTTTAAAGATGTCATGCACGGGCACTGTAAAACATAGCAAAGTGCTTTTGAGGCATTTTCGGAACTTACATCACCTTGTCTTTTCGTTTCAGCCTAAATTTTGAAATATGTTTAGTTGCAGCGAATCTATGTAAGGGAGGCAACTCCTGTGCAGGTTCCGATTTGTCAATCAGTCAGGGATCCACTATGATTCAAAGGAAATAGCCAAGAAATATATTTATTACCGTAAATATTCTGATTACAACAACTGCAATATCTAAGGGCTTAAGACCCTTAATGAACATATGTATGTTGATATTATTTAATTATCTAAATTAATTGTTGGTTAACTATGAATGGAAAGTTTAACTTTAAAGGGTTAAGTGATGGTATTGGTGATGATTTAGGTAATTAGGTAATTATAAAATATAGACAATGAAGTAAGCCAAGCAGGTCCTTTCTTTGAAAGAACAGTATTTTTGTGTTGGTTAAGTCTAACACTATTTATGAATTATTAACAGGATTCTCGGAAACTACAGATGCCCCACATGCATCATCATCATCATCATCATCATCAGTGGATTTCTATACACAACGTTCCTCCTTCACCTGTAATTACACACAACAGATATGTCCTGTAGCAGTATGTGTCTATTTTAGTAAGGCCACTCATTTTCTACTTTTCGTTTCACGGTCCCGCCACCCCTACTGAAAAACAACTGGAAAAGAATTCAATTAAACTTAAAACAATATATTTTATTATGTCTCTCGCTAGTAATATAGACCCTCTTATACAACATAAAACGTTATGTTTAAATTTTGTCTACATCACTATCAGTGATTCTAGAAGCCAGCTGCAGTGTTAACTCCACGGCAGAATGACTTTTATATAAATAAATAAATGATTGACATCGCTATTTATTTTTACTTTTATTTCTGCTGACCTTGTGTGGAAAAGCTGGAATAATTCTGTAAAACATAAAATTTAAAAAGTGTGCCTAAGCTTATGAAATGAGGTCTTTTATAACTACTTTATAACTTTGCGCGAACTCTAGCATTGGCTGAACCAGTATAGGGAACAGATACTACAGTGCTAGGGCACACGGTGCCCCTGTTGTGAAGTAAGAAACGTTTGTGTGATGTCAGCTGAGGGGTAATTGGTCGTGTACTCGTAGCCTCCACCACTGGAATCAGGCAATGGTGGATTTGGTTGTTATAAATAGCGACTCCACTGCAGTGGACCAGTGTATTCATGGGTGACTGATGAAGGACTGGTTGATGATGCATGTGAGGTGATGAACCCTAATCATCCGACTACTTGTGGAAGGACCAATATGTATAGCTGTTTCCTGGGGTCACAGGTCGTACAGAATCAAGTGTTGAGTTCAGTCGTTGATAACCTTCAGTCCTTTAAGGATAACATTTTTCATAATGTTCCAGCCTTTGACACATTTCGATGCTGTTTAATCATTCCCTTCATATATCACACATTATGAACTTCTCCAAAGAACTGAAACTGTTTTAAAAATGCTAAATGTTAATTTAATTTAAAATTATTATATGATCTATCAATTATCTGTTAAAAGAAAATTCAGTTACATTAATTATTATATACTACTAAATATGCTTAATACCATCCGATTCTATAACACTATAATTAATCTGTCCTGCTATGCTAACTATAGTACAGTAATGTGAAATTGGGCGGGCCTTAACTTGTTTTTGAGTAGTATGATGTACCCTGGGTAATTTAGATGTGATATTTTCAAAGAAAATGTTCATGCTGTCAAATAATTAGCTCATTTCCGCTATCAAACACTGAATGTGTTGAATGTTGCATTTTCCATTTCATTAAGCGGTGTTAGAACCATGTATGATGGTAGCTATTTATTGTTTTGTACGTACCATGTATATTTATTGTTATCACTCTTTGGTAGACGGCTATGTACATTGCATCTTCAAAAAACATTCATATCATGATCGCGCAACTAACTTCCCAACGGGCATGTCCATGTAGATGAACCCACAGATCTGACAAGAATGTGAAAGGTTTAGGGTCTCAATAATGTGAATAGATTCTAATTGGAGCCGTGAATGTTACAGCTTTCAATCCAGAGATGTTTGTTTCAATACTTTTAATTTTGAATTTCCAAATTATGATTTTTGTGTTGAATTACGTGGAATACTAATCCGAAGACTAGAGGTGTTTGTCTCAATGATAAGTGAGTTGCATGTTGGAGCATATTGTGACATTTGTTATAGCTTGTGAGTCTTCAGCCATTACACCTTCATCGGAGGTCAGCATACACAGATATCATGCACAGGTGATCAACGTCATCATGAGAATGTATCCAATAAAACAATTTGTGAAAGAGAACAGATTTTTGGTTTTGTGTGGACAGGAAGTAAAGTTGGGATTGATATTATGAACATAGATTCTTGCCATTGTTTGTTTGTTTGTTTTTTGTTTTACGCCGCACGCACAATCGTAAAAGGTGACTATGCTTGTCGTAAGAGGCGACTAACGGAATCAGGTGGTCAGTCTCGCTGACTTGGTTGATGCATGTCATCGATCCCAATCACTGGATTGTCTGGTCCAGACTCAATTATTTACGGACCGCCATCATATAGCTGGAATATTGCTAAATATAAACAACAAACAAACCTAAAAATTATGAAAAGAATTGAGCACTGTGGATCATTCTTTTCAGGGGTGTAACCATTGAATTGAAATGAATTAAACACAAATTGGTTTTCAATGATTTATTTCAAATGTCTAAAGACCTGAATACATCAGTAACATGCCAAAGGGCGTGCTATAACAATAACATCTCCTTCCTGTGTTTATCTTGTACAGGACACAAGCCTCCAAAACAGACAACTTGAAATTACAAATATAGTCTCACTATATACCAACCCAGCAGTCATTGTTCATAATCTTGAACTATTACTTTGTGTATTTATTATATATGACTTGCACCTTAAATATTGCACATAAAAAACACCATTCAATTCATAACTGATATTTACTTCTTAAAAACAGCATCATTACATGGTTACATGGCAACTCAAACATTCATCCATTAAAAAAAAAATGAACTGGAGGTGTTTTTAAGTATTTGCAAAAACAGAAGCACCATTTCCTCAAAGCTTAAGTCATCAAATTGCAGCATATGTTTCCAGTGCAAAAGCATTACTTCCAGATCTTGGCCTTAATCAAGACAGCTTCTTCAAGTACCAAGTCCATAATTGCGTTAAAGTGCAAACAGTAACTGGCAAGAAATGGCGATACAACCATGTTTCACAATAACCTCAAAGATGACCTTGACCTGTAATAACATGGCACGAATATTTCATAAGGTAAGATTTGAAACGGTACATGCAAGTATAAAGTTACATCCCTGTGCATGCCTCTGAAAGTGACAATGATATAATCATGTTTTACAAAAACCCTAATGCTGACCTTGACCTTTAACTTATCTGGACCAATACCTTCTCAAAGCTTGGCTCCTCATAGAGGCGGTATATACCAAGTACAATGATTATTAAAATTGCATTATATTGTTTTTGAGAAAGTGTAACCATGGTATTTTTTATCTCACAATCTTGACCTTTTCATGGTATGTGCAAAAAGAATTCCCAGTGCTATTCGGAAGAAGTCCATGGAAGAATAATATCTAATGTCAATAACCTTTGTGAGTTGGGTTTAACGCCACTTTTAACAGTATTCCAGTTATATCACGGTGTGTCAGCTTAATGTGGGACGAAAGCCTGAAGTGATGCAGGTATTAGACGTTTACCACTTCGGTGAAACCCACAAGCACGGGTATGGTGCTGACAAACCTAGAAACATAATCGGGGTGAACCATATTTGAACCAACAACCATAGGTTTCTGGTGTGTCCAAGGGATGCAACTCTGAACAGTGAATTGCGGTGCCTTAGACAACTGGGCCATCTGTGCCCCCAGTAGACATTAGAAAAATAACCAGCAGTGGCAGTCAAAATCCAACAAAACCTTAAAGCATTCCTGTTTCAAGGGGCTGCTAATCACCACCAGATGGACTGTTACACAAGAACAAAGTTCAACAAACATGGAAACAATGAATGATTGTTCACAAAAATACAAAAAACCTGTGGACCCAGAAATCAAATCTGACATCACTGGTGCCATCAAAAGAAGAACGATGACCAGTGAGATGAACCTGCAGCTGTTGATGTTGATCTAAGATTATAAATCTGGACAAGTACATGCCTCTAGTCAGCTCATTTTCTTCTCATCTTGTTTGGAATTGTTAGAAAACAAATTAATTCTCGGGACAATGTTAATAATGAATATAAAGAGTAGCACAAACTTGCAAAAGGCCAATAGATAGAAGAGGGTGATTGGCGAGTGAGGCAGCTTGTACGAGTCAATGACCCGGGACGCTATCAGGGAGATAGAGATGTGGACGAGGCGGTTCGCCATGGCATGACCGGCTTGGTTGACCTGTGGCAGCACGAACAGGGCGATGCCAAGACCTGAAACAAACATGACACGAGTGTGTGAGTGAGTGAGTTGGGTTCGCTGCTTTGAACATTATTTCAGTTATATCAAGGAGTGACAGCTTCTTATGGAATATAAGTCTAAAGTGATGCAGGTTTTAGACAGCTACCATTTTAGAGAACTCAGCTGTTTACACAGTTTCTCCCCTAGCTATGGGTGATTTTGTTTTATTAATACAAAAATATCAAGGCCAATATCATAACAAAAAAGAAATATCATAGGAATATTGCCCGCCCTATATTTTCAAAAGCCATGGCCTGAGAACCAATTCTTTTATTTTTTATGCCTTAGTAACATTCAATAATGTCAATGCCATTTAAATAACCCATGGTGTACATAGTTCTACACAATAACAATCTTCCATCTTTCTAACATCAATCTACAATGACTAAATACCGTATTCGTCGTAATAAGCGCCCATGGCGATATTTGCTGATATATTGGCTAGTGAACAAGCCCAGTTTGCATCCCTTCTGATTGATCAATGTACACAAGACTTATTTAGTCGGTTTTATACGCATATGTGTGTTATATGCACACGTATTTATGGGCAATTAAATTCTGGAAAAGTATATCTGTTGTACATAAACATTTCAGGCTGTCAGCATAAACCACGAAATCTATCTTTCAACTATTCACCAAAATAATATTCTAATAAGAGCCCCCTATTTCTAATTTTGAGAGCGCCCTGGGCGTTTATTACGTATATACATTTGGGGGGGCTGCCATCATCTAATAGAAAACAATGATGCCTAGTCATAGTCAATTCTTTTGAGTAGAATTCACCAAAATTCATCTGAACATACACAAAAGAAACAAAGATTCCTCAGTCCTACCAAAGAGACTTGATGCATCTCTTGTGACGCTGTAGAAGAGCGTGGTATCCAAATAGACCCACTCGGCTCGTGCACACCATTGCTGGGCCTTGCTGACTGACCACATGGCATCGAGGCCTACAGCCTGGATCGCTCCAAAGGTCATCAGGGTCGTTGTTATGAAGATCCCGGCAGCAGCTAGATAGTGCTTGAAGGTCAAGGTCTCCGTAGAGAAGCTGTTGAAGATCTGACCAATCGCAACACCTGGAAAACGTGATGAAGTATTCAGGGTTTTTTGTTCTTTGAAATGGCTGCATAGTCTTGTTTCCCCTTTTATTATGGCATAAATAATGCAAAGTTGCAAATTTCCAAAGTCAAGTAGGTTACTACAATCTATGTTTATGGCATTTACCAGAGAGTAAAATGGTCTACTATTATTTCTGTACTTTGAGAACTACAAACTACAGTAAACTGCGGTGATAACAAATTAAGGGGATCACTCATTTTAGTTTGTTAAACCGGAGTTAGTTAAATGATGCATTTAACTAACTACAGACTAACTAAGACTCGGTTGATATGTCCCACATCCTCCATATATACAGCATATATACAGCACATGGATGGGATAAATAAATTCAATATATCCATCAGTTTCTTATAAGCGTGTTCATTATAAACGTAGTTTACTGTACATGATTGTGGTTCAAGATACTGCACACAGTGCTGTTACCATTGATGCCTGCTACTACATGGTGACCTCCCGACCTCCAATGACCCCTCCCAGCCACCAGTCACTGACTGAGCTATAGGAACCTCTAGATACTATAAGTTACTGAACTCTGCTACAACCTGGTAACTGTGACATACAATGAACCCTTCCAACCCCATGATGACCTGCACTGATCCAGATTATTATCGAGAGACCTAGTGACCAACCATGACTCCTTCCTGTCCCATGGTGACCTACAACTACCCCTACTATCATTTGGTGACTATAATGACCTCTACCAGTCCCTGGGGGCCTACAATGACCTCTACCAGCTCCTGGTGACCTATAATGACCTCTACCACCACCTGGTGACCTACAATGACCTCTACCACCACCTGATTACCAACAATGACCTCTACCACCACCTGGAGACCTACAATGACCTCTTCCACCACCTGGTTACCAACAATGACCTATACCACCACTTGGCAACCTTAAATGACCTCTACCACCACCCAGGGGCCTACAATGACCTCTACCACCACCTGGGGACCTATAATGACCTCTACCACCACCTGGAGACCTACAATGACCTCTACCACCACCTGGTTACCAACAATGACCTCTACCACCACTTGGTTACCAACAATGACCTCTACCACCACTTGGCAACCTTAAATGACCTCTACCACCACCTGGAGACCTACAATGACCTCTACCACCACCTGGTTACCAACAATGACCTCTACCACCACTTGGTTACCAACAATGACCTCTACCAACACTTGGTTACCAACAATGACCTCTACCACCACTTGGTTACCAACAATGACCTCTACCAACACTTGGCAACCTTAAATGACCTCTACCACCACCTGGAGACCAACAATGACCTCTACCACCACCTGGAGACCAACAATGACCTCTACCACCACTTGGTTACCAACAATGACCTCTACCAACACTTGGCAACCTTAAATGACCTCTACCACCACCTGGAGACCAACAATGACCTCTACCACCACCTGGAGACCAACAATGACCTCTACCACCACTTGGTTACCAACAATGACCTCTACCAACACTTGGCAACCTTAAATGACCTCTACCACCACCTGGAGACCAACAATGACCTCTACCACCACCTGGAGACCAACAATGACCTCTACCACCACCTGGAGACCAACAATGACCTCTACCACCACTTGGTTACCAACAATGACCTCTACCACCACTTGGTTACCAACAATGACCTCTACCAACACTTGGCAACCTTAAATGACCTCTACCACCACCTGGAGACCTACAATGACCTCTACCACCACCTGGTTACCAACAATGACCTCTACCACCACTTGGTTACCAACAATGACCTATACCACCACTTGGTTACCAACAATGACCTCTACCAACACTTAGCAACCTTAAATGACCTCTACCACCACCTGGAGACCAACAATGACCTCTACCACCACCTGGAGACCAACAATGACCTCTACCACCACTTGGTTACCAACAATGACCTCTACCAACACTTGGCAACCTTAAATGACCTCTACCACCACCTGGAGACCAACAATGACCTCTACCACCACCCGGAGACCAACAATGACCTCTACCACCACCTGTAGACCAACAATGACCTCTACCACCACCTGGTAACCTATAATGACCCTTACTACCAATTGTTTGCCTATTTGTGCCCCTATTACCACCTGGTGACCTAAACCTTCCCCCAAAAGCTACCAATTGATGACCAACTGACCTACAATGACCCCTGCTACCACCTGGTGAGGGAAGTGTGTTGCAATATAACATCGGGATAGGTTGACAGCCAGCATCACAACACAAAACAGTGTCCATGAGAATATGCGCATCAATACACTGAAAAGCAATCAGATTCTTATTTAGGATAAACAAAATTTAAAAAATAAATGTATTGCCCTTTTACAGAACAATTTGCGTCACTGAAAACAGTTTGTACTAATGATTCACACATGTTCTTTAAAAGGAATCAGCCAAGTCATGATAGCTTATCTTTTGTGTCCAAGAAAAATCTAAAAACAATAAGCATGTTACAGGCAAATACCAATCTTGCAGGTATATTTTAGTCTGTTTATGTGAACTGTAAAGCAAAATTTTCTGCAGCAACAGTTTTATTAACATAAAGGTGTACTAGAGTTACCATGGTTACCTTTTGACTTTGCTGTGAAACAGGTAGTCAGACACAAGAATATAGAGAACCGCTGATGTCACCATGGCATGACCGGATGGGCTGCCTGGAATTGAAGATGTTATAGAATAGAAGAATAGTACTGATGTTTCACATATCAGCCTACCGGTAACCTACCTGCTCATGTTTCACATGTCAAGATAATCAGCTTTTTGTTGTCCTATTTGTTTTTTTACCACCTTTACTGACAATTGAGAAGCCATGATTCACATATTCCCTTACATACCCACGTGGTTAAGGGTTACTGGGATAGTAAGAATTTCTTTCTATAGTGAATGACACAATAATGAGTGAGTGAGTGAGTGAGTTGTGTTTAACGCCGCTTTTAACAGTATTACAGTTATATCACGGCGTGTCAGCTTAATGTGGGAGGAAAGCCCGAAGTGATGCAGGTCTCAGACGTTTATCACTTTGGTGAAACCCACGAGCACGGGTATGGAGCTGACAAACCTAGAAACATAATCGGGGCGAACCGGGTTTTTAAACCCACAATCATAGGTTTCTGGCGTGCCCAAGGGATGCAACTCTGCACAGCGAATCGCGGCGCCTTAGACAACTGGGCCACCCGTGCCCCCGACACAATAGTGAGGTGGATGGGATAGGGGCTGTGCACCAGAAAAGAAGAAGGGTGCAGAGGAGTGGACAGGATAGCAATATCTAATCTAAGTTAAGAATTGACGCGGATTCATACTGTTTGCACATCGGTTTTTCGATTCATACCTCAATGAACCAAAAAAAATACACAGTCAATCCTTAAAAGATATGGTAGATATGTTCCTTTCAATTTAAAGTCTCTTTTTAGATTTGCAAATGTTTTCAAGTGCCCAGTATTTGTAAAAATATCTTTCATACATCTAACACCACTTCTAAACCACATAAGAACGTGTTCAATGTCTCTGAGTGGTATAATAGAATATAGGAAGGGGCAAGAAATCTTTAATACTTTGTATTTCTGATAATTTAAGACTGTTATAATTTGAAAGCACAACTTTCCCAAAATCATGTCTAATTCCCTTTACTATTTTTTGGAGGTATCCTTATTAAAAACTGAGAATGTTGATATGGCCATATTAGAAGATTATGGAATGTGCTAAATGCTGCCATGAACCATTTTTGGTATACAATATTTAATGTCATGTCAACCGACCGTGTCCTGTTTCACATGTCAACCGACCTGGTCCTGTTTCACATGTCAACCTACCTCATCCTGTACCTGGTCCTGTTTCACATGTCAACCGACCTGGTCCTGTTTCACATGTCAACCTAGTTAGTTACCTACCTGGTCCTGTTTCACATGTCAACCTAGTTAGTTACCTACCTGGTCCTGTTTCACATGTCAACCTAGTTAGTTACCCACCTGGTCCTGTTTCACATGTCAACCTAGTTAGTTACCCACCTGGTCCTGTTTCACATGTCAACCTAGTTAGTTACCCACCTGGTCCTGTTTCACATGTCAACCTAGTTAGTTACCTACCTGGTCCTGTTTCACAGGTCAGTCTAAACTGCTGCAGTTGGGGCCTGGTGGCGTTGGTGTAGGCTGTGGACTCCTGCACCCACCAATATGGACGCTCGCCATGAAGTATTCTACAGGTGATACAAACAGCAGCTTACAGAGGATGCAGAGCCAAAAAGCACCTGTTGTATCCGACAGATACATCAGTTAAACTAATAGTGAAGATGGCAAACAAGATGAAGTTCCCTATGAGACTCGTGGTATTCAATCATGATAATTGTTCTTAAATTGTGGTGTATGAAATCAGAATAAATCTGTGGATCATAATGTGGTCTACTCAAAACCTTCACATGACCCAAATTTTTTTCTTGATGGCCCGGACGGCAGGGTCGCCAAGTGGTTAAAGGATTTCCTTGTCCCGCCAAAGGCCCAGGTTCGATTCCCCGCATGGTTGTCGATTGCTGTGATATTGCTGGAATATTGCTGAAAGCGGTGTCAAACCACACACTCTGGATGGCCAACACTTTTGGAGACAGGTGGATCAGTGGGTCTGTAATTACACTAGGAGTGAGTGAGTATGGTTTTACGCTGCTTTTAGCAATATTCCAGCAATATCACGGCGGGGGACACCAGAAATGGGCTTCACACATTGTACCCATGTCAGGAATCGAATCTGGAACCAAGGTCTTTTTAATGGCCGAATAAAGCGTTTTATATGTATATTCAAAATGTTTTGGAAATATTAAGGCAACCAAACTCTAGTGGTCCTATGATTCATGGATGTATGGATGTATCATTCCATTGCTTTTGTACACCTTGATACACGATACGCCTATCCTGTTTATATATTAGTTCTGGTCCTTCTAGAACTAGACAAGCAAAAGTCCTACAGTCAAACAATCTGTTCTGTTGTTGGACATGGTGACAGTGTCGGGTATCCTTGTGATTAACATAATTAAGGTGTCCACTCATTAGGGGTTAAAAACGATATACCGGTGCATCGTGAGTTTTCATGTGACGATATGATACATGATACATTTTTTTCTGTATCGATACAAGACGTGCACTTGCTGAAAGAAATTACGTACTACTCATTTAATGACCCTTGGTGTTTTTGTCAGCAAGATATAGCAAAATGTGTTGTAACTGGCATTTCAAGTTCACTACTAGAAATAGCCGCTACGAACATGTGTCTACAGCTAGCTTTTCCTTTTGAACCTGCTCTGAAATATTCATTGTGAAGACGTTTCCATGAGATTTGACGTAAATATGCATATCGTGCAATGTATTGTATCATGACCTTGCTGTATCATTTCACCCTTACCACTCATCATGTTGAAAACCCAGGTTCAATTCCCCACATGGTTACAATGTGTGAGTCTTCAGCAACCCATGCTTGCCGTAAAAGGGGACTATGCTTGTCGTAAAAGGCGACTAACGGGATCAGGTGGTCAGGCTCGCTGACTTGGTTGATGCATGTCATTTATTTTAATTTCGCGGATCGATGCGCATGATGTCAATCACTGGATTGTCTAGTCCAGACTTGATTATTTACAGACCGCCGTCATATAGCTGGAATATTGCTGGTTGCGGCGTTAAACAACAAACCAATCAACCAACAATGTGTAAAGATCATTTCTTGTGTCCCACGTGCTGAAATTGCTGGAATAATGCAAAGAGCAGTGTAAAACCATACTCACTCACTCACTCACTCACAACAGTATTGTGACAGCCTGAATGAACTAATTTAACTCACAGTTTGAAGACTGCATTCAGCCACTCAGCGATGGCCGCCACCCACACGACTCTCCTGCCCACGGACTGACGGAGGAAGTAAGCCAAGGGGAAGTAGATGAGGAACGCATTGTGAGGATCGCCAACGTGAGAGAGGAACAGCATAAACTCACTCTGGTTCTGAAGGAAACAATGACACATTCTCTGAACAACCACCAGAGACGAAACGTGTGGGGCTAACACCCAAGAGTAATCTCTGTTATCAGTGACTAGTTTCGATCTGGCTTGCTCTCATCCCGCAAGGCATGAACGACTAGGTCTAATCCTCAAGTTCCCTCACCCTTTCACTGTCCCAGTATCAAGAGATGAACAAATAATCGTTTTCGGCCAAACCTTTCTTATCAAGGTCTTATTAAAGTCATTTGAATCTTATCTATATTATATCAAACTATTTTGCATTACATCACAACCTATTTACCAGTCAGGGTTGCCTCTTACAGATGTGGATTTTCAGTTCCCACCACAGAACCATATTTTAGCGTGCTTGGGCAAAGTCACTGAAGCGCACGTAAAAGTTTACATAGGTAATATTTATCCTGGGTCCAAAGTTTACACTACAATAACAATGTGATGAATAAGGATTATCTGTCTTAGCTTTAAAACAAAATGATTTGAACTGGAATTATTTTCCCAAAATTCCTGATTTTTAGGATCAATCTGTAAAATACTAATAAAACCTGCCTGGATGTAGTCTGCACGTGTGGTGAGTCAATGTCCTACCTGGAACCAGTGTTGTAGCTGTGTGATGATTGTAACCCCCATAACATGTACATCCTCCATCACTGCCATTCTGAAACATCACAGGGTATATAATATATATTATGGAGGTGACCATATGGGATATATACTATTGTGGCATTGCTTGTTCGTCATTCTCACCAGTCAGACTCATACTGGTTGCGTAGGTTACCATAACAATGTTTTGACAGTGACCATAACAGTTTTGTTTACCGTATCCGACATAATGAGCGCCCACTGCGATATTTGCTAATATACTGGCTAGTGAACAATCCCAATTAGCACCCCTTCCGATTGATCAATGTACACAAGACTTATTTATTCGTGTATAATACGCACCAGTGTGTTATATGCACCCTTAATTATGGGCAATTAAATTCTGGAAAGATATACCTGTCGTACATAAACATTTGAGGCTGTCTGCATAAACCCTGAAATTTATCGTTCAACTCTGCTTTTTTCACCAAAATAATATTCTAATAAGAGTCCCCTATTTCTAATTTTGAGAGTGCCCTGAGCCCTTATTATGTCAAATACGGCATATAGACATAGAATAACTCTAGTGGACTGGTAATGAGGAATGTAGGCATAGTCAGAGAGAAATGTAAACATTTGTCACATATGGTTTAACCATAGAGTTCTAGATATTTTCTGACATTGAACAATATATCACATGACTACCAATGGGCCCTGGTAGTCCCGTGGGTACCCAGGTCCTACTCACCCGACCCGACTACCCGAGCTACCCATCCCAGCCCTCATCCACCCACACCACCATTATCATGATTATGAAACATGTTTCAATAGCCTTTAAAAATAAATGTAGGTTGAATGAAAAAAGGTAGCACAGGATTTGGTGACAATTTTATCAACCAATAAAATGCCATTCCTCTTACATTATAGACCCATATGAAGTAGTCTCATTTCATCATGATGCAGATTATTGCTGCTAAACAATACGAGGCACCATATGACATATGGTCTAAACGCATTACTCATTCATATGTTGAATAGGTAGCTGCTGGTTTAAAACATGGAGAAATGTCATCAACCTCAGTATTTGCACCGTTTTCTGTAGGGACTGTAGGGATAACAGCAAGGCCTTAATGTGAAGAAAGAACCAGTGATATCTGTAGGCCTACATATATGTCACACCGGCTGGTGTAAACACGTTTGCAACATTCGTCAACGACGTGAGATTAGAGTTACTGGCCTTGGAAGATATCCGGTGAGATTCGGCTCATATCGTTTAATTCCGGAGGGTTAGTTTGAACTATGAATTATTCGACTGTTTTCGGACATAATATCAACATGACACTGGGATGAATCGTATTATAATATTATGTGCTATAACCATGCAACAAGAATGACAAAAAATATATTGAATAACATTATTTGTCACACACGATAAAATATTCATACAATCAGTAGAAGCAGTCGTAAAAGAAGACGTGACGCCCCTCCGTGTGTAATGCCATCTAACGCGATGACATTCATTATGCATGCACAAAATCAACCACTTTACAGAGCGAGAATGTCTTCATTTCATTCCTAATTAGATTAGCTCGGGCTGGGAGGAAAGAAAGCTATTAGGAAGTGTGCGAAGTGTGTCGTTCGATACGTGATTGAAACTATACTGGCATTATTGCCCACTGAAAGGGACGTTGGACATTAAAACTATATTGAACACACAAAGTAGGGGGACGCTGAACATTGAAACTATATTGAACACACAAAGTAAGAAGACGCTGAACATTGAAACTATGTTGAACACACAAAGTAGGGGGACGCTGAACATTGAAACTATATTGAACACACACTGTAAGGGGACGCTGAACAGTGAAACTATATTGAACACACACTGTAAGGGGATGCTGAACATTGAAACTATATTGAACACACAAAGTAGGGGGACGCTGAACATTGAAACTATGTTGAACACACAAAGAAGGGGGACGCTGAACATTGAAACTATGTTGAACACACAAAGTAGGGGGACGCTGAACAGTGAAACTATATTGAACACACACTGTAAGGGGATGCTGAACATTGAAACTATATTGAACACACATAATAAGGGGACGCTGAACATTGAAACTATATTGAACACACAAAGTAGGGGGACGCTGAACATTGAAACTATATTGAACACACAAAGTAGGGGGACGCTGAACATTGAAACTATATTGAACACACAAAGTAGGGGGACGCTGAACATTGAAACTATATTGAACACACATAATAAGGGGACGCTGAACATTGAAACTATATTGAACACACAAAGTAGGGGGACGCTGAACATTGAAACTATATTGAACACACAAAGTAGGGGGACGCTGAACATTGAAACTATATTGAACACACACTGTAAGGGGATGCTGAACATTGAAACTATATTGAACACACACTGTAAGGGGACGCTGAACATTGAAACTATATTGAACACACAAAGTAGGGGGACGCTGAACATTGAAACTATGTTGAACACACAAAGAAGGGGGACGCTGAACATTGAAACTATGTTGAACACACAAAGTAGGGGGACGCTGAACATTGAAACGATATTGAACACACAAAGTAGGGGGACGCTGAACATTGAAACTATGTTGAACACACAAAGAAGGGGGACGCTGAACAGTGAAACTATATTGAACACACACTGTAAGGGGATGCTGAACATTGAAACTATGTTGAACACACAAAGTAGGGGGACGCTGAACATTGAAACGATATTGAACACACAAAGTAGGGGGACGCTGAACATTGAAACTATGTTGAACACACAAAGAAGGGGGACGCTGAACAGTGAAACTATATTGAACACACACTGTAAGGGGATGCTGAACATTGAAACTATATTGAACACACATAATAAGGGGACGCTGAACATTGAAACTATATTGAACACACAAAGTAGGGGGACGCTGAACATTGAAACTATATTGAACACACAAAGTAGGGGGACGCTGAACATTGAAACTATATTGAACACACACTGTAAGGGGACGCTGAACATTGAAACTATGTTGAACACACACTGTAAGGGGATGCTGAACATTGAAACTATTTCGAACACACATAATAAGGGGACGCTGAACATTGAAACTATATTGAACACACTGTAAGGGGACGCTGAACATTGAAACTATATTGAACACACAAAGTAGGGGGACCCTGAACATTGAAACTATATTGAACACACACTGTAAGGGGACGCTGAACATCGAAACTATATTGAACACACACTGTAAGGGGACGCTGAACATTGAAACTATATTGAACACACATTGTAAGGGGACGCTGAACATTGAAACTATATTGAACACACAAAGTAGGGGGACCCTGAACATTGAAACTATATTGAACACACACTGTAAGGGGACGCTGAACATTGAAACTATATTGAACACACACTGTAAGGGGACGCTGAACATTGAAACTATATTGAACACACACTGTAAGGGGACGCTGAACATTGAAACTATATTGAACACACAAAGTAGGGGGACCCTGAACATTGAAACTATATTGAACACACAAAGTAGGGGGACGCTGAACATTGAATAGCCAAGGAGGCACGATGAAATACGTGTTATCTGTCCCGGGGAGTGAATGTTAAAGCGTATGGCCAACGAGGGTTGAAAGTTCGAGTGTAATAACTTTCTGATATATTTTCGTATGTGCATTTTAGCTAATGCTAATTGGTCAGTTGAAGCGATTCATGGCGTCACATTCACCCATTGTTCATGACGTCTCAGACTGATAACAATATGATTTACATGAGTCACCTAAGGTGTGTACTGTGTTTTAGGAGCTGAATGGGCTAGTGCACCACAAGACCGAAAGGTGTACAAATATGTTCAGCTCGTACAATATCATACACCCGCCTATTGACACATATAGAACGAACTGATCACTGGGTGGTCACAGGTTGCAGAGATCCATTTACGATGGAATATGCTTGTGTGACAATATCAGATCTATCTTACATGATCTACATGTTACAAACACAAGTTGACTTTGTAACTTGTTTACTCCTCAAGGGGGCACGGGTAGCCCAGTCGTCTAAGGCGCTGCAATTCTCTGTGCAGAGTTGCGTCCCTTGGGCACGCCAAACACCTACGATTGTGGGTTCGAATCCCGGATCGCCCCGATTATGTTTCTAGGTTTGACAGCACTATACCCGTGCTCGTGGGTGACACCGAAGTGGTAAACGTCTGAGACCTGCATCGGGCTTTCCTCCAAGATTAATCTGACACGCCGTGATATAACTGGAATACTGTTAAAAGCAGCCTTAAACCCAACTCACTCACTGTTAACTCCTTATGGTACATTTTGTTGTCAAAAGTACGGGATTTTATTAGCTGAACGTTCATGGTGTAGAAATTTTCTCGTTGGCTATTCTGAAACTGTGAAACTTGATGATCGAAAATGAATGAGTGCGTGAGTGAATGGTATTGCGCCACTTTCAACAATATATCAGCCATATTACGGCGGGGATACCCCCCCCCCCCCCACCCCCCGGGATTGAAACCCACAATCATAGGTTTCTGGCGTGCCCAAGGGACGCAACTCTGCACAGCGAATTGACCACAAGCTACCAGCATGAGCTGAAGCAGTACGGTGAAATACATCGTTTCCCTTTTTCTGTGGGTTTTAGAGCACCAAGCGTCCACGTTCCCTACTAATAACAGTAACCTAACGGGGATAAAGGCCAATAGATTATTGTTAAAACTGTTAAAATTAGCATACATAGTTTTAAATTTACATAACAATCCGATGTATGTAAGACAATCGTAGACTTGTGAGTGAATAAGTGTATTTGGTAGGATGGGATGTAGCTCTAAGTCGATTACCACTTTGGCGAAACCCATGATCACAGGTATGGTGCTGACAAACCTAGAAAATACTAAGCCAACATGGACTCGAACTTACAATCACAGATTACTGGCGTGCCTAGGGGACACAACCCTGCGCAGCGAACACGGGGCCTTAGACGACTGGGCCACCCGTGCCCCATGTGAACGTAGAAAATCGTTAGTTCAAAATAAATTTCTCGGGCACAAAGTACGATTGTCTGGACCAAACTCATTTATTTACAGACCGCCACCATGTAGCTGGAATATTGCTGAGTGTGGCGTTGAACAACAAACAAAAGAAACGCAGTTACATCCTCAAAACTGTAATGAATACTTTTGAGAGCGCTTTTTAAACACTCGGTTTTAGGATAGGGGGAATCTTAACACCCATTTCCGTGTTGTTACGTACAGACTGTTATTGTGTTTTCCAACAGTGTAACACACTAAATTGTTGGCCGTGTAATGGAGAAATAATTAAACGAAAACACCAGACTTGTGATCGCCAAACCCGATGTCAGTTTATGTCTACAATAGTGAATGAAAAACTCAGACAGAGGGTTTTCATCCAACGGTTATATATAAATCAGTTTCCAGACTCAGACAGTAGATGTTGATGAGACGTTTATATATAAATCAGTTCCCTCATGGATGTCTCATCACTAACTAATGTGACGCCCACCATGCTGGCGATGAGCCGAAGACTGTTACTTTCAATGTCAGAAGACTTGCCATGAACGCAGACTGTTTATCTCTTGTAAAAGCTCAATAAAATCAACAACATTTTCTATCGACGCCGTTTAAGTACCTTCCATGAAGCCCCGAGCTGAGATCCGACACTAGGAACACTACCTATCTGTCTGAAAGGGGTAGGAGTCATGATTCTAGAGTCTGACAAGTACCTTCCTTGCAGCCCCGAGGAAAGATCCGATACCAGGAACACCGGCTAGTTGGTTGCAGGGGTAAGGAAAAAGGGTTGAAAGAGTCTGACAAGTACTTTTCTTGAAGACCCTAGCCAAGACCCGACACCATAGACACTGGCTATTTGGTTGACGGGGGTTGGAGTCATGCTGGAAGCGTCTGACAGCCCCGGGTCAAGATCCGACACCAGGGACACTGGCTTATTGGTAGAAAGGGGTAAAGATCATGCTTCCAGAGTTTGACAAGTGCCTTCCTTGCAGCCCCGAG